GACACAACCCAGTGAGAGATATTTACTGTATGGATCATTATTTCTACGCGTACGGATTGATTCCTACAGACTAGGCCTCAGCATAGTCCGATATCGATGCATGCCACCACACCAAGACCATGCTGATAAAAGTTAGCCATACCGTCAAGGTTGTCTTATGATTAACCGCGGGCATGAGCGACGATGGGAGTTGTATATTCCGCATTGACCACCTGGTACTAATCTTCATATTGCCGACCATGTTTGGCGAGACCGGCTTCTTCCAGGAGATCTCAGGTCAGTACTCAAGGTGACTGGATATATTTTCGCATAATTAACAATCCATATCTCGTCGACCATGGCCGCTATGTGATCCAGGTGGAGCCGGAGCGACTTCACAGCCCCGCCGCGCTGACATGTCCAACGGGCAGCCAGTTATTGGCTTCGAGCTTATCCAGTTAATGTTGTATGTATGTCCAGCACAGAATGGACGAGAAAGCCCCCGATGTATGACAGAAGCATCTTGCAATATAATTAAAATGTCGCCGTTTGAGAGACTACACGTGTAGGGCCGTTCGCCGTCGCTCGCCGCCCTATTCCTAGTCCTGTTCCGGATGAGGATGGGATGATGGGACGATAGAAGCCCAAGCCTAGCCCAGGAAATGCACGCAGGGAAATGCCCTGGATGCTGGATGGCGCGAAGGAAAAAGGGTTGATGCAACTGCTGACTTTGTCCAGTGGTCCATTAAGCTGGAGGATCCAGTCCGATGGGGCCGAGCAGTTGGCTTCGCCTCTCCGTTGTCTCTAAGCCCAGAAAGGAATAGACTGTAGATGCTTCATTGGCAGGGATCTGGCTGAGATCATGGAACGGTGAAAGGCAAGAGGACGATACCACTGGACCCTTCACACCCAGTTGTTGCTCCTCCACCCACTCCTCTTTGAACGATTATTCGCATCACACACGCCCGTGCCAGTGCCGGGTCAGTATCATATTCTACCTGCTCCGTATGGATGTGTGAATCGATACTGTAATATCTAGCCAGAGTACCTACCTTGGTAGGTAGGTACTTAGCGTCAACAAGCGTAGTAGCAAGCGTAGCAATAAGCGTCAACACCTTAACCTAGGTGCTTGGTGCAGCTGGTAAGCAACTAAAGGCTCAGCACCACCACCTTTTTTTCGATCCAGCGTGCCAGAATACCCATCCATCGAGCGCAGTCAGTTTACACAACAGACCCAACCACCGAACATCCAAGACGCCGGACTCATAGTCGAAGTTGCATCGTTCGATATTGCCTTTCTGTACTCGGATTGGTCGCGGTCATTTAATGCATTCATTGTTCGTTGTTCTATGTAGTAGCCTATAACCTTATGAACCTAAACATCCCCTTCAAGCGTCAAGGGTACTGTACCTGGGGACCGTCTTAGGCGCATGGGATAGCTGGTAGGTGCTAGGTACCTGGGTAGGTACTAGGTAATAGGTATTCCAGTGTGTTCAATGCTGCAGCTTTGTATTGTACAGTACCCAGGTAAAGGTACATACCTATACCACCCCATACACCCATACACCAATGCACCACCTATACCAAGATACTTTCATTTTCCCTTTCCTTCTTTCCTTCTTTTCCTTCCCCCACAGCCCACAGCTCGCAGCTTTTGGAAAGGCACTAAGCTCTCTTAGCGCTATTCAGCGACGGTGCTTTATACTGTATACCTACAGGTAAGTACTTTGGCGGAAAAGGGTTCCATTTGGCATTAGCGACCGAACATAGCCAACCTCTCATAGAAGAAACCCCCACCATAAGGAGAGCCCATTAGTAACGTTAGAGGAAGTTACATAGCAGGAAGTCGGCGATGGGTTGTGTATGGGATGTACCTCATGTACAGTCTCCTACTGTATTCCTTCCCCTTGCGGAAAGTGGAACAGTCGTTTAGAGTTAAGCTAGCACGGTGTACAAAGCCCGACCAAAAAAAGCCCACGCCTACCACGCCTACCAAGCCTACCACGCCCACCACGCCCAACTTCAACCATCCATCTCGGGTAGTTATTTAACAACCCTCCGGCCCCCCATTGATTTCTCCATCTTCTATTAGTCTCTCTCAGCATAATACATCAACTTCAAAACTGAGCTTTGCTCTAACCTCAACCACACACTCGCTTTAACCTTACCTCCCTTTAGGAAGTCCTCGTTGGCTCCTGTCATTCGCTTTTTCCTTTTTTTGTGTGTTTGGAGATTTTGGACTCGAAGAGGATCCCTACCATCAAAATCGTGAACCCGACTTGTCCAGCATTGTCCAGCAGTGTCACCAAAACTCAACAAGCCAATAAGCCAAGAAACCCACGCTGCTATAATCGTCTATTGGACCATCGCACGTTGTCTTAAGAGAGTCTGTCCACGTCCGTTGATTAGTACTCCGAGTCTCGAGAGAAGTTATTCAATCGCTTAAAACACCTGGAAGGAAACGACCAGCAAAGAACCTCAAATATCAGGCCCCATCGTCATCGATATCATCGACGTCTAAAAATCAATCTCGTTCAACGGTACCTTTTGTCAAACCCGCCGCCACCGAACTCGACGTCTTGAAATATTCGAGACATATCGCAACATACTTGTCTAGTTTATATGTTGTGATATAGACGCAGCTGTTACCATTACTCTTTAATCAATCCCGCTTCTTAACAAAGGAGGCACCCCCGCTATCCACATCCAAGCTGTTGTCTAGGAACGCCCGGTAACTAGATCCACTCGCAAACCCATTCGCTCGCTTCATCTGGCACGAATATATATCGTGCCTTGCTTCACGTGAGTAGCCTTCCCGACTGGCTTGTCCCGCTGGCAATAGTCCATTGCCAGATACGGATGTGTCGGTTCCAGTGCTAGTGCTAGTCCCGATATACTAACCTATCCGCATTAGTTCTTTATTTCAACTTTATAATTTTACAGCTTTTCCAATGGCTGGCCCAGGTGGTGGTCCTCCCCGACGCAGGTTTGTTTCCTTTAGCAAACTAGATATTTTTAGGGCTCTGTTTGCTGATTCTTGTGTCCAGTCACACCAAGTCCCGCAAGGGCTGTGATAACTGGTATGCTTGGCTTAACGGTATTTACGTCAGAATAGGAACTGATCGATCTGTAGCAAACGTCGACACATTCGCTGTGACGAGAACTTTCCCCAATGGTCTGTAACCACCTCTTACCCGTGATATATGTAGCTTGCTGACTCCCCAGCAGCCGTAATTGCACCAAACATAAGGTCCGATGCCCGTACAACGATGTTCCGGTCCCTGATGAGAGGGCCGCAACTCCCGATAAGCCCGATCTGATGTGGACCCCTGAGATCGAGGCCGCCGTCGAGCAGTGGCAACGAACTGGTGTTTTCCCGTTCCCGAGCCTCAACATCTATCCCGCGCCTGTACCTCAGTACTTCTCGGTTGAGGACCTTCGGTTAATTTTCCACGTTGCTGCTATCTGCAATGAGATGAGTGCCATGGATGCCAATGGGTTCACTCTTTGGACCCGCCAAATCCCGACGTATGTCTTAAGTTTTTGACTAGTTCTTGATCTTGTGTGCTAATTTACATGCAGCATTCTCAAAATTGGTGCTACTCATGGATACGTCATGCATGCCTTACTCGCCTTCTCGGCTGAGCACATCGCTTTCTTGACCAACTGCCCACACGTGGGCAGCATGGCTTACGAGCATCGCGGTATTGCGCTCAAAGGCTTGCAGGAAGCCATAGGGTCATTCTCCCGTGAAAATTCGGATGCCGTTCTGGCTGCCTCGCTTGTGCTCTCGTGGCAGGCGACAGATTGGTAAGCAATAAATGCACGCACCCGTGAGACCATAGCTTACCAGATGAAATAATAGGCGAAGCTGGACCCAATTGATGCAAGGAACCTCATCCGTAAGTGCAATTTGATGCCTATTAAAAAAACTATACTAACGCAAATTCGTAATAGGTGATTGACGCTATGGAACCTTGGAAGCATGAATCCCAATTTGGAGAGTTCATTGCCGAAAGCAGCACGTTCCCTACTGCTCCTCCGTCCCCCACGCCGGATCACAAGCCTCACCAACCGCGCAAGGAGGATCTCGATGCGTTCCAGCGCACCATTAACCAGATCACCAAGGTTGAAGCTCACCTCAAGCAGAACAAAGAAGATCCCCAATTGGCCACGCAGCTAGTCTGCTTCCTCAAGGGTGCTCGCAAGGTTAGCCCAATCCAGTCGATTGAAGATCAGTTTGATCGACTCCGGCCACTCCGCACCTGGCTTTTCTGGCTTCCTGTGATGTGCTTCAAGCAAAACGGCACTTCTCCAAGTGCTCTAGTTGTTGTCGCGCACTATTACACAGCTGCTATCATGATGGAACGCCTCTTCCCTGAAATCGGAGCTGCCTATTTCGGTAGTCTTGCAATTGGCCCCGTGGAAGAGATTGCTCGACGCCTGCTCTCAATCAACGTTTCTGGAAGCCTTGACGGGGACTCGCAAACGCCTCTCACTCTCATGGAGTTCCCCATCGACACCGTCAATGAGTTCCGATCTAGAATGGGCTGGGTCCAACCAGTTCGCACGCCATCCTTCCCTCAGTTCGACCCGCCCAACTTTTATATGGGCGAGGGTATGGCGCAAGGCACCCCACCCCCCACGAGCTCATACATGCCGTACGAGGACAATCCGGCGTTCAGCTGGAGCACCGAAGATCTCTCCGTGATACCAGAGCAGGAGTCTGGGGTTAGTCCCTTGGCCATTTCCTCTCCATACTCTAGCCAGCAGTATCTCAACATCCCGTCTCCATCGTACGGAGGCTACAGCCCGGTATCTTCGACCTTTGGAGAAGGCTCCATCACGTATAGCGATCACGAGGAATTTGGCTCGTGGGACTCTAGCATGACGGCTTATCCGCCTCTTGGCTCTGGGCCCAACAACTTTGGTGTCGGGTTCGTCTCTCCAATCCAGACCGTGTGGATCTAAGCTGTCAGGCATCCCACAACGGCTCTCCGTTCTGACGTGGAAGAGGACAAAAGTGATTAACCTTGCCGCTCAGGAACACCAATGCATCTTCGTCCTCCAATTACTTTACGCTTGAACTTCCCACACAACGGATGGATTCCACCGCTTTACCATCTCCGGCCTTTCGCCATGCTCCCTCGCCGTTCCTCAACCCCGAACAATGGCACGGCCCTCCCATGGAATCAACCACTCCCCTTTCTCTATCGGCACCGTCACCCACCTTTTTGTCGTCACAGATGTTCCCGCACCACCATCGGCAACATTCTTCCGTTTCTTCGGCTCCTTTTCCAATCAAGAGAGAGCAAGAATGATGACTCACCCTCACGACCCAGAAGCCCGACTCTTCCCGAAACAAATTTAATACTCCTTTTTCGACTTTTACCACAGACGCAATTGTATACCACGCTCCTTTGACAGGATTCAAAGAAACCAACATGTCCAGTATCGACACAATGATGCCCCACAGTCCTTTTTGTTGCACGAAACGCATAATACGTATTGCATAATGATCAAACTTACGACGCTCCTTACGACATTTATCGAAGATACCCAAATAGACACTCCTTTTCTCAGGATATCGAATTATATAGACCGACCACCTCACGCTCCTTTTACGATTTACGACGATATCTACATTTGGTATAGAATCTCAGCCGCTCCTTCCGGAATTGCATTGTTTTGAGTTAGGATACCCCTATTACCCTCTACCAAATTGCATAGCGACTGTTTACAACTCTTGATCCGGGAACAAAAATTTGACGACCTTGCGGGCGGTCTGTCACATGCATTGGGACGGCGTTACTTGATTTATTTGATTTTGATTTGCAGCTGGGGGATATGTTTTTGGAATAGAAAAGATCCTGATGAGGACAGTTGTGTATGCTAGGATCTGGGAGCGGTATGGTAGCAACAGAGAGTCGCCTTGGGGCGACTGCTTAGGAAATGCTTAGGAAATGCTAGGAGTTATTGGAGTCGCTTTTATTTGGATTTGGATCGAAGCGCAAAAGCAGTTTCAGATACGGAGACAGGGAATGAAGGCTTTCAGCAGGAGCATATGGTTATCGCTTGTTGCTCCATTGCTCGGAGGGCATGAGGGTTAATACTTGCAGCAGTTGACTGGCCGTTTTACTCGGTTCAGATGCTTGCGGACGGCGACGAAGCTGGTCTCGCCAACTCGCGGATAACTAATCTTAATTATAATACAATGAATCGCTGTTCTCCTACGAATATTCTTCATTTTTGCCTCTGATTGTTGTGTATATTTCCTGTATATCACTTGGTCCTGACGTCTATTGTGATATCTGTACTAACAAGAAGAGTGATTTGGACAAAAGAAGCAAAATACATCCCACTAGCCGAGCTGTGTCCTCGGTTAGGTGCGCCATCGAGGGGTTTAACCTTTCCCCTTAACTCGCTACACAATCAGCTAATAGGACCCTAGAAATGTAACCTCGTCATATGAACCGGGACGAGCCGTCTTATGTTTTAGATGATCAGCCTCGGACCTCTCCTTGCTTACTCTGGCGAGGAACATGCTCGTAGTATTTTTTCCGAACGGTCGATTATCTACCTTGGTTAGGTAGGTAGGTACCTAAGCAGCTAAGGTATTATACATATTACTTGCTAGCCGCATACATGTGTATCCTCCGCCGCAGAATACATAGGTAGCTGACTGGCGGCCGAAGAAGGGGGTCCAGCCAGCCTTCCCTGAACTCGCCAAAATATCCCTAAAGAGGGCGGACCATCCTATACGTCCGCCTTAGCGACCGCCGCCGCTTTTCTAGTCACGAGGCCAATTAGGAAATCGCATGTACGCTACCGTTCCTAGCCACGAGCTTTTTTTTCTTTCGACTGCCGATTTTTCGCCATTAGCTTATATGGATACCTAGGTACCTATATAGGTAGGTATCTACCTAGGTATGTATTTTGTCTATTAGTTACTGCGGATTCCTAGAAAAAAAAAGCTAATCGGACGGTTCCTGACTAGGCTGGACGCCGGCACGACGGTAGGGCTGCTTGGAACCGAGCGTCCAATGGGACGCCGGGGCCGGGGTCAGCCGCGGTATACGAGCTTTTGCTACGAGGCTATCTATTCTTAGACTTATGTCGTCCTACCCGTCCTCCTTTGCACTGCCGCCGGCGTACATTCAATAAAATACAATACAATACATAAGTTGTCTGTGCTATAGGTCGCCGTCGCCGCCGTTTCACATCACGAGGTTTGGCGGACGGAATATCGTTTTGGGGGTATAGGGTCCAAGCTATGGTGATGGTGAGGCAGCCCTATATCAGATGGGACGTTACACTTGGACTTGGACTTGGCTCGAGCAGGTTTGTCGAGTAGGTTTGGCCACGCGGGTGGTTTATAACGTGCTACAGGCAGATATCGGGTGCTGTTTTTAGCGTTGGGTTGTCCTAGGTGAAAGCCGCCCCCCCGAGTTTGTGATAACTATCGTATGTTGTGCCGCTGTTGTAAGATGACCCGAGGTCACAGGGGCGGCGGAAAGGGGCGATGTGTGAGTGAGGAGTTAACGGCCGTGTTCGGGGTCTGGCTCCCCGGAAAACATCTACGGTTTGTTGCCGTTGCGGAACGCCACGAACCGGATATGTCACGTTGCGAGATCGCCCTCCGTTGAGATCACTGACGTAAGTACGTTTCTTCAGATCGGTAGTGTTGCCGCTCTTACTTTGTTCAAATGTTGGGATGACAATATAAACCGTGTGCAGATACTGTGGGTGATGTAGAGGTACCAGATGCATGACCTAGGCGTCTAAAGAACACTGCAGTCTGCAGGAGGTATTGGCTTTATGTCGAATATTGGTTATAATTCTCATTGGCTAACAGCCTGTGCCTCACCTAGGCACTATGCTATGCCCTGTGGCATATCTAAGCCCCTGAGGCAAGGGGGGCAAGGCTTAACTTGGGCAGCTGCGTGGGCTGAAGCAGAGCATGTACAGTACCTCCAGAGCTACATGTACAGTCAAGACTTTCTCGATCTCCGGCGCTTTTCCTCCGAACCGCATGGGCTTTCGGTTCCAGAATTCTGCAAGAGTACCCAAAGTCGACCGGAAGTATATCCTCCAACGCCTTTGTCCACGGACACTGTGAACAATCATCGACCGCGGGGCTTCACACTAGCCCACTTGAATAGGCTACCTAGTACCCATGCAGTAGCTGAGTAGTACTATGTAGCGTCTTTCATGAGGCCTTTTCTAACACCTGTTGTATCATATCACTTCAGAATAGCTTCATAACGATCTACAAGATCACTGTCGTTCGATGGCTAGTGCCCAAGTCACACGCCTCTAGGAGCAGTCTAGCTCAGGGGTTTTCTTTGGCTATGACATCGTCAGTACTCACTTTTCTCCCCTGTCCCTTGATCCGAGATAGATAGATTCGATCTTGGGTTTTCCCTAAGACCCAACTTCTCTACGCTAGCAAGTCTCTAGCGTAGCTGATCTACTACATCCTATAACCCCTTACTAGATGTGTAGATATGTCCGTCTTATGAATTTTCATAACACGCCGGAATACTATAATAGGTAGGAGAAAATAGCATGCGGGACCTAAAGATCGTCTATATTAGTGAGTAGATCTGATAGCATGGAATGATGTCTACGCGAGCATGTACTGAATGATTTACTCGCTAGCTAGGTCCCTACAACTACATAGAAGTCTATCTAGTTCCACACAGTGGTCCCCAGTTACGTTGAAGACGTGAGTGATGGCGCACCTAACTTGCAGATGAGAAGTGCATATGTGGATGAGTTAGTCCGACTTTGCCATGACCTACGAAATCCCTTAGGAATCTGATTACTTACTGTAATAACTATAATATATAGGGGGTACCCGACAGCCGAGATCTGAGATCGAATATATTCACCTCGATTTTTATTTTATTTTATTTCTTTCCCCATTTCACCGCTCATCCTGCACGACAAACACCAAAACTCCGACCATCTGTACTACCACTCACTTACTTGACGCTTGTTACTCGCTCATCCAACCCCAGCCTCCGACGATCTTTGGTGGTGACCAGAATCTCGTATTCGCTAGCTCCATCACGCCAATAGCCCCTGTCAATCCAAACGCAGGCTCCGCTCCGAGGGGTCCCCCCTAAACCCCAATAGCGAATTTTCCGCATCCATTGGTAGGAGAAAAGCCTTGCCGTTACTGCGGTTGCCGGGAGAAATCGAAGTATAACCCGGGGGAACTAGGGGTGCGGCTGGACGAAGGATGAGGGTTACCACTGGTGGTCCCTACGCACATTCTCGGAATGGGAGCTAGTATCTCATGCTACTATATAATATAATGTGGAAGCCTATTGCTTAGTAACTATCTAACAACTGCCTAGCTCTAAGGGCCATAGCTAATAAGAAGACACATACCCGGAGGAATATTCCGTTCTTGGCACTTTCACTTCACCTACTCCTAAGGGCCTAGGGGGGAAGACTATCGTTGATAACCTCAAGACGACTTATCTGCAGATTTCAGGATTCGCTGTAGGTTGTTCTTGGTGCCGCGGAGTCACCTGTTCGTTCTCGAAGGTTTCGAAGCATTCGACCGAGACTTGATACGTCAAGAGCATCAAAAAGTTGTACCCCCCATCTTGACCCCCTGCCGGACCAAACTATGGGAATTGATACTGCAAAAGTGGGAATAGCATTCTCTATGGAAGGATCACCAGTTGGGCACTGTGACCAAATGCGAGAGTTGCAGAACTAATGCTCACACATACATACACCCTTTCATGTATGTACCTACACTCTGTGTTATCTCTACCACCCCCTGTACATATATGCCATGTACGTATGTACTAACCAACATTCGCGAATCGTTCTAGAACCGTTCTCTGCATCTGATAACATGGCACGTCTTTGCCGCTGCCCATGTCCTTATACTAGCCCGTGAAACCAACAGGGAAGCACGACGAACAATGGCATTCTCACTATACCAGATATGCCCTCTGCCGCCTATCGTTGCACTACATCTGCAGTCAAAAGAACCCCTACGCCCTTATGCAGACCCATATAGTCCTCAAGCTTCACACAGCTCGGTGACTTGACAGCAAACACCATAACAGTCTTTCTACGCATCTAACCATATCTCTGCTAACCCATGTCCAAGGCAAAGCACCACGATCGCTAAAACACGGGTGACAATAGGTAGAATAGGAAGCTCCGAAGCAATAACGCCCACCGACCAAACTACCTAACCGACAACTCTTCTTCTACCTAGGGAACCCCGACTCTCGCCAAAACGCATAATCTACCGACAATATAGCATGATACGACCGCCCTCGAACCATACCCGAAACGAACAGCACACTGGAGGATCGCTAATCAGACCTTCTACCGACGACATCTTATATTAAGATTAACTTCACGTCCGTGCGATAACCCGTCTAGGCAATATTTTAGGCAGACATTATCCTATTGAAGTCTTGATGTCATAGCGTAGATCAACAGCCGCGCGAATAGGGAGCTGGTAATATACCATGGGTCCGCGTCTAGATTCAATGACTTCCTCTACCCCCACGAGAGATTGGGACGAGTTAACTCTATTGCTGTATCAGTTGTATCCTGATAATTCCACCAATACATATCGTTGTGTTCGACGTGTAGAGGTAAGCGTGTCTTGGACCATGAGCATCGTCCTAAAGTCTGATATAATCTGGTTGCTGGGGTTGATGTTGGTATCGATCTTAGGAACCCCTATACTAGCTCCTAGGCGGACGAGCGACTTTGCAGCAGGTCCTTTCTGTGTTATTGACTGTGAATTGCATATTGCAAAGCATGGTTAGGTAAGCTGTAATATCAAGATACTACCTACCTTTGAGTGCTAGATGATCTTAAGACGACGATTTTAGACTATCAGAAAAAGTGTTTGACCGGTCGACTGGAGTTAAAGCAACCTTTATTTTTGAACAATCTAGCGTCTGAGCATAGAATATACCACCCCGTAAAGATATAGGCCTCGCAACAAGTTGAAGAAACCACCATATGTTGAACGGCTACTATGGAGTCAATGTAGGCCATCACCTCCATTGCTTCCTCCAAGTATGAAGATAAAGAGTCATTATAGAACCTCCCACTACTCTGCACCGTTCTTTCTCATCTGCGGTATAACATCGAACACTAACATCAAACCCCCTATCGCAGTACCGTAGACACATAAAAGCCATCACAAAACGCAAATATCAACACCAAACCCATAGGCAAAAATTCGTACATCATTACCGCGCTACACAAACCTATATACGGGGGTAAATCCTACTCAGCACGTATCTCACAAACATACCTACCTACACACTCATCGCCAGTCATGAACCATACCATCCTACACCTATAATACAGACCCCCTCCTCCTCCTAACCCTAATAGTCGCCTTCATCGGCGGAATCCTATTCATACCGAACCAGAAGTTCTCGGGTCGCTCACGCTGGATCTGGAAGTCGTAATTGAGAATCAAATACGCGAGCAGCAACTTCAACTCGCTAGCGGCGAAGAACCTGCCGGGGCAGGCGTGGCGACCGTGGCCGAAGGCGCAGTACTCCGGGCTCGTGGTGGCGAAGGCGAGTCTTGCCCTCTGGACGTACGACGACGGTTCCTTCTCGCTTTTGTCCGTGCCTTGGTCAACCGCGCGTTTGTCCGCGAACCGGAACGGCTTGAACTCCCGGGGTTCCGGGTACACGGCCGGGTCGTGGAAGACAGGGTATGAGGGCGCGCACACGACTGTGCCGTAGGGGATGTGCACGCCGTCAGGGGTGTCGATGCCGCCCTTTCGGACGACGACGCGGTTCGTGGCTAGTGACACAAACGAGTTAAGGCGCTGGGACTCTCGTAGCACGCTATCTAGCTTCGGCATGGCCGCTAGAGCGCGCTTGTTCCACTCGCCGCCGTATTCCGCAAGCACGGTCGTGATCTCGGTGCGGAGTTCGTCGAAGTACTCTGCCTTGGAGGCAGCGAGGTCCAGGAGGGCGTGAGTGATGGCAAAACTCGATGTATGAGTGGACGCAAAATTGAGTAAAAGGATGCGACCCGATAGTGTGTCCACCTTCGCCATATACGGATCACCGGACGTCTTGGCCTGGTTGACAGACCATTGCAGGAAATCGTTAGGTTCCTTGTCAGCGGCCTTGGTCTCCGGATCGGATCGCCGCGCGTCATAATCGCGCAGCCGTCGTTCAACCTCCGGTCTGAGGATGGAGTAGAACTTGTTTGTGTGGAGGCGGTTTGGTAGAGTCATGAACAGGGCCGCGAGTGGGCGCAGTGGCTTCCACGTGAATCGCAGCGCAGTCGAGCTCATCGGCACATCTTGTGCGTACGCGAGCCCGGCATCCAAAAGATCTTGGTTACGACATAACGGCAAGCCCACAAAGACACGGTTCGTAACCTGTCCGATGATGCGCCGCATAACATCATAGACGCAAAGCTCGCTCCAGTTCTCGGTATCGCTGCCCCAAAAGTGATCAACGCTGAACTGGGTCTCATCCAGCAACGTCGGAACCAAGTTACCAGTCTCGCGGGTTAAGATGGTGGATATCAACTTTTGGTGGATGGGGTTGTGGATAAGACGCGGGTCCATGACAGTCAAATCGAGCTGTAGCGAGTCGAGAACTTGCTCATGTAGATTAAGTTCGGTGTCGGGCTGATCGACAAGCCATTGGAGCTGGCTGGCCGGCAGTTGTACGAAGTTCTGTGCGCCGGCGATAGGAAATATGACAGTTTGGTCCCGGTACAGATCGTAGGCGACTTCAGTAGCGGTCTTCATGTCCTTGGTATTACGCCACTTGGCCCGTATGAGCGGGAACCACTCCCCAGGTCTTGCGCCGACAATAGGGACATTGGGGAGTCCGGAGGGCCGAAAAAGCTGATATAGAACATAGCCAATAAGAAATACGACCGGCGCCAACAAGGCCGGACGGGTCAGTGCATCTTCGAGGAACAAAGCCATGTCATCCGGGGGAGCGCCTAGATTGACAAGTGCCGAAGGAGCAAGAAACTAAGAGAAAGTAGCCCTTACAAGAGAGATTATACATCCGAGAGTTTATAAACGACGATCGAGTCATTGGAGTACCATAGAGGAATCTCGGTTATTAACCTACCACTCTACCTACATAGTACACACAAACACTACCTACCTTGCATCGGAACAGTTAGAATCCGGCGAGAATGGGTAGGTCGAGACTGGGTGAAGTGTTGATTATCGCCTGGTAATTGGGAAATAAGAGATTATCGGTAACGAATAGGAAGGTCAATTCTGGGGTTCTAGTAGGACAGTTGTAACGGTTTGTCTCATTTATCTTTAGCGGTTCCTCGCTTAGCCGTTTTACCTTCATGTGCCCCAGTTAACTTTGAAGCTCTAGTTGATATTAAAATGGGTCCAGAAGGGGGATTCGGAAGGGACAGTGGAGGAAATAAGGAAGTGTTGACGACATACTTCACTGCCGGTGGATTAATGTCCAATCAGATAAGATATTGAATGTAATCCTCTATAGAATGTAGGTATCTAGGTATCTACCTCGGCACTTAAGCCTCGGTTCCTAAGCGAGAAATATAATACTTAACGTCTCCTTCCCCTCTCTTAGTGGTATGTACTCAGTATAGTGACATTGATTTATGAAGGATGGATAACTTAGGATACATCGACACATCGACGCATCGACATAAGCGATATTCTCTTCCGCATGTCGCCATGATATAGCTAGACAGACTACATAACAAGAGCGTTGCGATCCAGTGGTCTTAGGGTAGAGTGAATTACATCGATAGTGCTTGATTATAACATCGACACAAATAACCTTCATATCTGTTTAGTCTAGGTACTTAAAAGCCACAATAGTCTTGCTTTTTAGAAAGGCGTTTTCTCATATTTATCGTAAAATCTACCCCTCTCTTGAGAAATGAGTAGTTGTTCATAGAAGAAGTAATCGACCCCAAGTAGATTCCCACCTCATTATAAAAGTATAGGTACAGTATAAGCCGAATGTCTTTCGTCTTTCGTATAACTCAATCTTTTGCTCATGCATTTCCCCTTTTACCCACCTAAGCCCCGAATGCGATATTTCCGTCCTTTTATACACGATCCCCATGCGAATCTATTAACATCGATATGGTATAACAAGCATTGATGTATAAATGCAATCGACGGCCGCTGAAAAACAACAAAACTCCCAGCTTGCAAAAATCCCGTGACCTGATTACCCGTGTATCGCATATCCGTATGTCCTCGTATATGCCTAGAAAATCTCGTAACAGCCTGTAACTCGTAACCGACCAACGCCATTCGTCTTGCGGTCCCCTCGACATGCATGTCATGACTCGAACAAACTCCGGAGCGGCAGCGGTAGCGGATACCTCACCCGGCACTCCACCCGTCCGCGTTAACTCCGCGGACCATAATTAGTCCAGGAACCTCCGTCACGCCAACTTAAACTTTCATCCTATCTTCATCTCATCTTTATCCAACCCAAACTTCCTACCTCAACTCTCCCCCAACAACGCCTTCACGCGATCCAACCTCCCCATCGCACCCTCCAACCTCTCCAACCGATCCCTCTTCTCCACATCCCTCCTCTCCAACACACTAACCCTCTCCTCAAGCTTCGCCCTAGCCCTCCGTTCCGTCGCCACCATCTCATTAGCCTGCTCGAACAGCGTCGCGCTCAGCTCCTCCACCTCCTTACTCGTATCATTCAGCCGTCCCTCCGCCCTCGCCCGCAACTCCTTCTCGCGCGACAGCTCCTCCAATAAATCCCTATCGACACTAACACTCGTACCCACACTCACGCTCGCGTGGTGGCCGTTCGTCGGGAGCGGTGGTAAGTGCGGCGACGAGAGCGAACCCCGCCCGTTCGCCGCGCGAGCGGCTAGGTTCGGCGCGGACTTGCGCGGTGTTAGGAGCTGGGATATGCGCGCCGCGGCGCCGGTGGGCAGGAAGGAGGAGCGCGGGGACGAGGTCGCGACGCTGGAGGGCGGGGGCGAGGCTTGTGTTGTTGCGGCGGAGGTCATGGACGCGGCTCGCAGCCGCGACAGCTCGTCTTCGTAGTCGGCCCAGCGGTCGACTGCCGCGGTGGCTTTCTGGTTCAAAAGTCGGACCTGCGCCTGCAGGTCTTCGATCTGTTTCTGCGCTTCGAGGAGTGCGGTCTGCGCGTCGGTGTTGGTCGGGGATGGGAGCGAGAGCCCGCAGTTCGGGCAGCAGGAGGTTGTGGTTGTGGTTGTCGTCGTGGCCATCGTGGATAATTGTGTGGATGTTATGGGTGGAAAGGTCATGGTCATCGTTGCCGACATGGTTTTTGCTTGTGCGTGGTGCGTATATACCTAAGGCACCAGGTAGGTATTTTAGCCGGGTGTGACGGACAGCTGGCTTTGATTGCTGGTCGGCGAAAAACTGTGTGTTTGCTCCGAATTGCGGCCAGATGTAATGAATGGATTTCGCCTAGTTGGAATTTCGGTAGTTTTGATTAAATGGCTAATAAAGGTGAAACTGAGCTCTTGAAGTTTATCACGAATAGAAAATAATAACCTCGAAAATAGTTAATAAGGTGGTTGGAATCTTATTCTCATTCTTGCAAGTTTGTATTTTCACTAAATTTGTTTGCGTACAAGTATGGACGGGCAGGAACGGGTACGGGTATGTACAATTACGTCCCATCGCCGGGACCTGCCTATGAAATACATAAATATACCAGGTACAAGGCAACAAATAATTGGTGGCCAGCCAATTAGATGTCAAGCTATTTGTGGTGGCAGGACCGGGGTTGTTTGACCGGGCGATGAATTCAGTATGTGACTGCGCCTCGTTTTATTCGTCTTGTATCTTACGCATGTAATTTTGTAGGTGGGTACCTCTGTCTTTCCATGCATAATATCTTTTGCTTTTAGCTCTTTCCTATCTCGACTTCGATGGCATTAAACACTTTATGTAATTTCCTCATAGTCAATATTCTTAGTTTTAAATGTCTCATATTTTTCTTCTCTTCGCATCAAAGTCCTTGAAAGTCGGCAAGTGAACCGAGAACCGAGCCTTGGAGTCTCTCAGCTTTACATCAGTGGCGCAGGATATGACGACTCAAGAATCGCATACAAGGTATCGTGGCGTTGCGAAATGCGAAGGATTAACTGCCGATGCGAAAGAGTTTCGAACCATGGAGAATCCTAGATGCTGGGGTTTAATATGTGGCCCTTGTTAAGCATCGAAACACCGCTAATCTTGCCTGATCTTGTCAGTCGATGTCCATGACCAGATCGTCCAAGTGCTTATGAATTTATTCACAATTAAAAGCACTAAATTTCCCGTCACGAATATTCGATGTTGTAAGACTGAAATCATTTTTCGTATTCGTATGTAGCTTGTGCTACAGGTAAGATGCATCTGGTAAATGCTCCCGAGAGATTCTCTCGTAATCTCCGCTGTAGACAGCTAAGCCGTCACGATGATTTTAATGTGGACAAGTCAACTGTTTTCTTGTCCAACGGGACTGCATCATATTCCTCCGAGGTGACTGCTATACTGCTCTGATAACTCAAAGATTTTTCATAAGCCACAAAGCCATGAGGATATTCATTTTCATACCTCACTTGCATAGTGCAAGCCCACCCAGAATGCGCCCGATGTTGACTCCACCAGTATTGTGCATGTTCCAGTGTTGAATGCAACTTTGTCGAGAAGTTTCGGGTAAAGTAGTAAAACACTTCGGTCATAAACCCTTTGTCGGCGGACAATGCCGATTTTGTATAAGGCCAGACTACTCAGATAGACCAGAGTTCAGGTCCCAGAGAATGTAGACTGTGAAGGTTCGAAGTCTTCGAGAAAACTAATCATCTTCGTTCATGTCCACGAACCAAGATAGCTGGGCAGTTCAGAACGGTTTAGCGACTTTTCGAGGCTCGCCGAGACCAGTCTCCGGGTCCTTGTACTCCTTCCAGCTGACGGGATACATAGTATTTCCCGCCTCGCTCGTAGCCATAATGACGCCGAGTTCGTTGCTCGCAGTCGAGAGGTAATAATTAGCCTGATCACCTAGAGAGATCTAACCCACACAGAGCATACGTTAGCCAGCGAATTCGCAGCAACGACCAGAAATTAAGTCATGTAATTACTCACCACTTGTGCTCTCACAATATCGCCCGGCCGAAAGCTCTCGTATATCTTCACACGATCCTTCTCCGTAGCCCGGACGTCCTGAACGCGAATCATGCCCGCCCACTCCGCCTCCAGCACCGTGTCCCCGACGACCAATATCGCGACATTTGCGTGTCGTGGCGTGATGCGCGTTACGCGGCACAGCACCGCATTGCCAACCTCCGGGAGCACCTCGCGTTTCTCCGCTACACCGGACCGAGAGACTGAGATCGTTGCTTTGCTATTTGCACCACTGCTGCTCTTGCTGCCACTGCCATTATTGCCGGTGCCATCTTCGTTTCGTCCCTGAGCTAAGGCTGCGATCCGCGTTAACCGTTTCTGAGGTCCGGAAGTCTGTTGTTGCTGTGTCTGTGCCTGCACCTGAGCACCGACAACGCTCACAGTGCCTAGGACGGAGGCGTACAAGTTCGAGTCGTAGATATGCGTGCCCGCGCCCGCGACGTACTTATCCGCCGGGCCAAGCAGCTGGCCGGGGATTGCGAGGGCCTGTGCCATAACCTGGGTCGACTCGTTGACCGGTAAATGAGATATGTAAGCTCTAATTCGAAAGGTTTCGATTCGCGTTCCGCGCGTTTGCGGATGGGCAGTTAAGTAGATTGGAAAAGAACTTTTTTTCGGTTGATGATGTAACAATTGGCGGCACAGCGGCCAGCGTTTGCTCCGACATGCAAGAATGGGCTGAGCTAGCGAGCTTTTAGCTGTCGGTACTTGGGTACTTTGCACATGTGGTGCGATCCGGCTCTCTGGTTAGCCGGGTCCACTTTCCGCAAGGGGTAAGCATCTTCGAAGCTGGACCCCTATTGACACGGTACGTACCCTGAAGCTTTAAAGCTGGAGAGGAAAAAAAAGTTTCGATTTTAATATTATTGACAATTTCGCTTCAATCGCAGGAAGCTAAACCATCACGCTTCCCGCCCTTTAAAAGGTATGTAAGGTAGCGAATCTCCAAATTCCCTTCCCCCAGAGCTGTTACAATCTTGTTTTATCTTCGTCACCCGCTCATTTGTCCGCCAGCTCGGAATTCCGTCCTCCGTGTAACCATGGCACCCAATACTACCGCTTCCACGACAGGCGGTCTCACTAAGCTGCTCACCTTCATCGGCGTGCTGATTGGCGTCCTCTACCCGATTGTCTACGTGCTCGAGCGCAACCTCGAGAACTTCTACATCTTCGGCATCGAGGAGCTACGCGATGTTTCCCAGCGCGGCATCGAGGCCGGCGGTAACGACACCGCTAAGATCGTCGAGTTCATCGTCACCGAGCTGAAGCAGAACCACCCGACCCACGTCAACCCCCAGTGGAACGTGCGCGAGGAGTGGTTCTTTAACAATGCTGGCGGTGCCATGGGCGGCATGTACATCATCCATGCCAGTAAGTTATTCCCCCTTACATTCACGATTCCTAGTATCCCTTCGATCCGGAGAATCACACCGACTAACCCGTCTCGCCAGGCATCACCGAGTACCTAATCATCTTCGGCTCAGCGGTCGGCACCGAAGGCCACACGGGACGACACACTGCAGACGACTACTTCTACATCCTAACCGGCGAGGAGCACGCCTTCGTCGCCGGCGAATTCACGCCCGAGATCTACCCCCCAGGCAGCATGCACCACCTAGAACGAGGCATCGTGAAGCAATACCGGATGCCCCAGGGCTGCTTCGCGTTAGAATACGCCCGAGGCTGGATCCCGCCCATGCTGTTCTTCGGCTTCGCCGACGGCATCTTCAGCACGCTCGACTTCCCGACCCTCTACCGCACCGTTGCCGTCACCGGCAGGGAGATGATCGGTAACCTCCTGACTGGAAAAATCTAGACGGACGGGGCGTTATCTTTTGCATTTGGCACTCAATGTCGGATAACCGTGTGCTATATCGGAGCTAGAGCTTATACAGGCGGTTTTGTCGAATGGTGCTAGATCTACAAAATCTGCTATTTAGAAATCCTTAGAGCTAGAAGGCGATATGCCACACTATATATCGCATTCTATAGTAATGATAATGTGGCTCTGCAACTAATAAACGACAAGCATGAAACGCCTACTTCGTATTTTATACTTTTATCTTGAATAGGTAGGTAGATCGTGCATGTAGTAATTTGAATGACCTTAGGGAAAGGAGACATTTCTATTAACCTGGGTATTGCCTGGGTATCGCCTGAGTATCCTCTAATTCTAATGCTCCCAAAATGTAAAGCCATTTTCCAAATGCAGCACCTCGAAAATGCCAAATGCCTATGCGATTCCAACGTAATGTTTTCTCCACGGATCTCTCCCTTCTACTCTAGTTATTCCGGATTCTAGATCTGATATATCTTCCAGAAGTCGCCAATCGTAAACACCCACCCACCCGCGTTCTCCGTTCTTCTTCTTCAAGCCGGCTGCTTCTATCTTCCCATAGAATGCTTTTGTAGCATCCTGGCGCCTCGACTCGACAAGGCAGATCTTTCTTACCCGTACTTTCCTCATCTGTTGTGATGAGGCATCCCACTTGGACGCCGAACTTTTAGGCATAGCTAGCTGGTTCCATGACTGGGGGTCTGTTATAAAATCGTGGACGCCATGTTCCCCCAGTAGATTTTCTGTGACCCACGGGTATTTAGCAATGCACGGTGACAATAGAATGGAAAAATTCTCGAATGCGCATTTCTTTCCCGCTAATGAACAACCCTTGGAAGCCATATGTTGTTTCGACCCATCTTCCTCTACGGAACTCGGCGATGGACGGGTAACATGAGGTGTCATATGAGAAGGAGTAGCCCTGTCATGGACATTATCAGTTGGTGATGACGCAATCTCAAACGCTGATGAGTTTGGCATTGGTTCTTGGGCTTGTTGAGATTGTGAATTATCATCAATCTGGCCAAGTGGTTGCCTTGTCCGTACTGGACTAGGTGGTAGGCTAGTAGACATGGCTGTTGGATTTGATGGTATAGAAGTTGGATGGGAAAGTTTTCGTAACTTTTGAACTGCCCTTACCGTATCAGGAGCTGGTCGTTTCTGACGTTCTGGCTTGGTTGCGTAGTTTTCACCAATTGGTAACTTTGGAGGCTTTGGTGAGTCTTGGGCCAGGACTGCCGTGCCAGGACAAGACATAATAGACTGTTCTCGAAGATGCGTTTTGTTGGCGACTCCTGCTGATGGGCTGTGTCGGGCCACTTCCTCCAGATGGTTGTTATTGGGGGATGTCCCTTCGGACGAGGTGCTTTGTTGGGTTGTAGCATCGACGGCTACACCACGTGGGTCCGCCCTCTCCAGCGCTGCTATCCATTCGCGCATCTCTTGACTATCTTCAACTTCTGGCATTGTAGTGGCATTCGATGCAATCTCTTGAAGTTCAGAAAAAGAGATCGTGTCCAAATAGGATCTATCGTGGTGGATTTTGGAGACTGCTGGAAATCTCATACTCCAAAAGTTTGTATTTGGCTCTTTATCGAATGAAAAGCAGCGCATGTCAAACACCAACGGATCTGAGAAAACATCCGTCGGCCGCTTGTCTATTTCGCCACCCCTAAATTCCAGGACTATGGCTTCGTTTTGGCTGAAAGGAACCGGAGAAGGAAAACATTGGTGTATGACAGTCGATAGAAGAGCTTCAGAAACTTCAACTATGTTAGTGACAACAAATTGAGGCTTCTCTATCCTTGCCCGTGCCTTTTCCTTGTTTTCTAGACATCCAATGAAAAAATGAGTCCAGTTAACATTGGATTTCCTATACTCTCTTGCCTTAGCCGCGTCATAAGAAGCGCCAACGACGGCAAAGTCTCCTACATCGCCCCAGCCCTGAACGTATTCCTTTTTCAGCTTGATGTTGCAGGTATATGGCTTTGGATTTATTCTGAAGTCGAAGTAGGATTCATCCGGTTTCAAAACAAGACCCTCATTGCGAGAAACAATACATTTTGCGAAGGCCTCGCGCAGCTTTGATGCAGCAGACGGCTGAGAGAAAGATATGACCTCACGCTGCACCAATTCAACACAACCTTTCCGGCAAGTTATGAGCTCACCCAAACGCTTGAAACGTTCGGATTGTCGAACACCCAGTAATGACTTATCATCGATCATTAATAAGTCATAATATACAATCATTAGGTGCTCATAATCGTGTGGCCTGCTATGAATTTAGTTGGTTTCCTTACATAGGTAGATAAGGGGCTGTGCCATACTGCGAGTCGAAATTAGTTCCTAGGAAAGAACCGGAACGCGAAACATGCTTGCGAATTTTGTGGAATGGTAAGATTTTATTCTCCTATTTGGCTAGTCAGAACACGCATATTCTCGAAAATCACAAGATAGAAGTAATACCTTATTACTGTACACTACCAACTCCCCCTCGAGAATACATCCAGCTGTGAGCGGACAGTCCGCATCGCCCAGTTTGAGCGAGTCTCGTATAACTCTATTGTATTATGTTAATTAATTTTAATAAGGGGAAGTGGATAGTAACTTACTGATGAAGGCCAAGTCGATCCCGAGTACTGTCTTTGCCGCTCTTGGAGAATATTTGGATAGGGGAATGAGGTTTACGGAGATTAATGTGTATTTGACAATATTCTCCATCAATTTTCTGTTCGCAACTCATTTCTCGCGATCTGCCCATATCGAGGCAATGTTTAATACTTCTTCCCTTGAACCATGCTTGACGCCCAACTTTTGTTCCAATGGCTGGCTTCAGAATATCTGCAATATTACATTGGTTTAGTGGTGATTGGCTAATATGCCGTAGAAACTCGGTAGCCTTCGTAAAATCATCCCTAACCTTCATCATCTGGGGCAATAGGGGATGGTAGCAACGGAAGACAACCCGCTCATCCATGATAACCGGTTGGTAATTCTTCAACACCAATCTCGTAAACCATTTTGCATCTCGCGGACTGAGTCGTCTGTAGATGTTCATTAAGGATTTATCTTGATCCCTTGCATTCGAAGTCTTGTGTAAGGCCCTAACTGCAGGTGAGCTGAATCTGCAGGCAGCCGCAATATGACTTAGGGTCTCGTCAATTTCTTCCACTGTAAGCTCATTGTTGGCATGCGAGGGGTTGGGCTTCATCAGTGTTAGCAATTGGGATATGAATTTTTGCTGCTCAACAAAGGGTAGCTTACTGTACGTGTCAAGATGCCTTCGATACAGTCTGCGAGATCTACACCTAGCCCGGGACTCTTATATCTTCGTAATTCTAGAACTCGGGAATTTCCTAGAATAAGGGCCTTGGCAAATATGCCTTCAAGTTTCAAGGCCTGAATGAAGTAAACTCTGTCCGTTCTTCTCTCTGGGAGTAAAGTAGACAGTATAGCGCATGCATCGGTTCCATGCGCATCTAGATGCGAGCGATGTGTCCTAAACCATGTTTCAATTATGGCTTTTGCAGAAACTTTGTTGTTGTCATCTTGACGAGTCTCGTCGTCAAGTTGCTGGAGTAAATTGCATATATATCTAAATGGAAAGGGCATTGGAATTGTAGCGAAAAATGAACAAGCTAGGAGAAACCAAACTGGAAGTGGGAAAACTTCAGTTGTTTGGAAGTAGAGAATGAAATATGTATCATAGATGTGGCTTCGTCAGAGGTAGGCAGCAAAGCGAGAATTGTCTTTGACGCGTAGAAATTAAAAATTAATTGAACCTTCCCGTGTTCCTTGTTTTGCCTGCCTGACGTCCTCATTCCTTCCTCCGTCTTGAAGCGCTCACCTTTGAAGTGTTACTAACAAAGACGAATTGCCCACTAGGCAATTGCGATTATGGTGTGCAAGGATAGCGCGTGTGCGACGTGATACAACCTACGGGTACTCACGTGAGAAGTCTTAGATTCTTAATTAAGTACCTAGGTACCACGTACAGGGTGGTATGACGGGCGGCTTCTCCTTGTTGGCTGTCAGTCAGTTTAGTGCAAGGTTTTACACTAAGTTCTCCACTTCCTAACAAGATTCATTTCGAACCTTGCAGGGTCAAGACTCGTGGAAAGTCTCGGAGCAAAAACATCTTCCCAATCAAAATACGGGCAATTTTCCGCATCAAACGCCATCTCGAGCCGTCGATTTTGATGGTCCATGGAAGATGGAAGCATGGAAGCTTGGCTTGCCCCTGAATGCACAAAACAGCCCATGCAGCCTTGAGATGAGCGCGCGATTGGATTTGTGGAGTTTCCGTTTGGTTGACCCGGGATCGAACGGGGATCGAAGGGGAAACAAATCCATCAAAATAAATACAACGAAATGAAATTAAAGCAAAACTGTCCAAAGTCGCCAAACCCGACGCTCTTTTCTATGAGCTTCCCTGCATCTTACTTGCCATGATCAATTTCTATCATTTCTGCCTGTTACAACCTTTTTTTTCAAAAACATCTAACCTCTACGGCTTTCGTCGATGATACGATCGCTCTTTTTTAGAAAATCTCGAATAAACAACCACATTCTTTTACATACACCAAACCAAATACTACCCTGACTACGCTACATATTTATAATCTGTGATTCGAACATCGTCCCCTCCTTTAGGAAGATAATGGGCTCCCCCGGTCCTCGTCAACCCTGGCATAACCTCTTATCATTCGTCGCCTAACAAGGTCTAGCTATACCCCGGCCGAGCCGTACATCTCACTTGGGCTACTTGGGTTACTTGGCCTCCTATTGCATCCCCTAACAATCCCTAACATAGCAAATCTGAGTGGTGCTGCGTACCCCCCAATTTCCCAGCTTGTCCAAGCGAGCTCCAGTCACCGCCCTGAATTTTGATCGCCATCTGCCTCGCCGGGTGGCCGATTATGTTTTTTTATGTCCATGAAATCCACTCAACTTTTCCAAATTTGTTTCATTACTACTGCCCGCTCCCACACTCTCTTCAATGACAAGAGATTCAACAACATAATCGCATCTTTATATTCTAGACGTTCTTTTTCCGGGAAAAGTAGGCACCGGCGTGCCAGTAGTTTCCCAGCCACTCCTTTTCAGAGGCGAAGGTCAACTGGATATCATACTGCCGAACAAATATCGCGCTCCCGTTCACTACAAAATTTCATTAAATTACTTATCTGGGCGAATATGGCAGTTGAACAGCGTCGACTTCGTGGCTTGCAAGATTCTGCCGCTTCGCTTGATGCAGCCCTTACTGCGAGTCCAGAAATCACTACTGGCACAGGTTCTACCAGTAATCCAGCACCCAGTTCATCTCATCCAACGCCACGTGCCGGTCGCAAAGAGAGTATCGGAGACGAAGAAACCGACAGAGAGTCAACACTAGGCTCGATGTCTTCGCCGCCACCTTTGAGTGAGACGTCTCAGACGCGATCCACTCGTTCTACCTCGACAACTTCTCGAAATTCCAATCGACTTTCCTTGACATTACCAATTGCGCAACCTAACAGTTTCCCCTCGAGACCTACACCCACTTCCTCAATGCCTCCAACCCCTATAGAAACCTCAGCATTAAGCTCCCCTACCGATCCGAATGATTTTATTGTCGCCATTGCTGCTCAAGAGCGTCGTGTATTGGAACTTCGTGAAGAATTAGGGCGGGCCGAGGATGACTTGAGGAAACTCAAGAGGCAATGGACAAGCTCTGCTGCGTATAGGAAACGAGCATCTCATAGAAATGTCGAGCCTCTCCAAGCAATGGAATCTGTTTTGGGTGGGCCGTGGGGATACGACGAGAATGTGAATGTTCGATATAATAGCGAGCTAGAGCGCAGAAAGGCCATTCTCCGTGCACAAAGTCAGGGAACTCCTCGAGAGTCGAAGAGAACTGTCATTCGCGGCGGACATGCGCGCACCCTATCACTACTTTCGCCAACAAGATCAACAAATGGAGATGATAGTGGACTTCGATCAGCTGACCCATACTCTAAGCCGCCATCAATTACTAGCCCTGCCCCTATTAACAAGCGTGCAACTTGGGCTCCTCGTCAAACCCAACAATACCAACCAACAGATGGTATGAAGAAGATGGCCAATGAACTTAAACAAGGTCTTTGGACATTTGTTGAGGACTTGAGACAAGCAACTGTCGGCGACGAGGCAATTTCCGGAACCACACATAGAACTAGCGAAATGATTTCCCGGCTAGGTAGGATGGAAGGCGACCAGGACACGATTCGTGCATCTGCTTCGAGTCGCGGCCGTATACCATTTCAGGACGAGCCGGAGTCGATCCTAGATTCACCAAGTATAATGTCTACCGACAGCTTTAGCGATCGTTTCCAACATAGACGTACTACGTCAAAAGCCGAACCTAAGGCCAAGAAGCATTTCTCCTGGACGCCACTCACGTTTGACAGTTTCGATGATGAAGATTGGTCGAACTGGGAATCCCCAAATGTCAAGACATCTCGATGGAGCGGTAGCACTGTGAACGGGGATATCATATCCGCAATTCCCGAGAGGACTAACGAAAATGGAGGGACACTGTAAGACGACCACCATCCAATGAGACATCGAACCGTGCAAGGCACATCGTTACTACCGACTCGTCTCAAGTCGCCCAATCACTAAAAAATGCAACCCGTATCTAACATTTCAAGAATAGGAGACGCAAACAATCCCGGAGCGAGCTCCGCCCACCATCTCCGCAGACGCCAAGCAAGCTTGAAGAACTCCCCCAAGCCATCCTTAATAGACTAGCGCCCAGCAATCTGAAGAACACTACGTCGAACTTCATCAAAGAGTGGGAAAAGAGCCTTTCGCCACCTGCCGAATCAACCTCGTTCTAAGCCACTTTATAGGTCACTGACGGAAATAGAGTTGTGGGCGTTATAACTCCGGGTCGACGTGTAAGAGGGTCGAGATAGCATATCTTATACATACGGGTCTTCGTGCGAACAACCGGACTGGGATCGAAAAGGGGGGCAGCCGACCATTGGATAGATAAAAAAAAATAAGTCCCGAACTAGGAGTTACGACAAACAGCAGCATCTAGCTCATGTATAATTCTTGCCAGAAGGGCAGTGTGTAATATTCGAGGTCTTGCGAGCGCGAGATGGTATGTATTACCTAGGTACTTAGGTCTTGTCTGCTGGTTTTGGGGTCGGGATTACGACGTATCGGTTTGGGTCGAGAGCTATCGCCGAATAAACCGGTAACTAGGAAGGAAAGGCGGGGTCGGAAAGGAACTGGTGATGACCGTTTTTTTAATAGTTAATGATCATGACGCTCACGATAGTTAGACGATAATGTAGAACGAAATAGAATCGTTTTCGTTGTCAATATTGGAAATTTACCATCTAATATTCGGGCTTTGCAGTGCTTCCCTTGAGCCTACCCATTTACTCCCCTAAGTTCTACGTTGGTGACACCGGTGGCGTCCCTTATTATGCCCGTCATTTATTCTTCATCACTCTCTATCTTGGTTAGCAGACACTTGGCTATTCGAACTATGGTATAGCGGCATTCATATAATCGATTCACTTGGTAATTCATAATGTAGACAATGAGTTGAAAAGAGTTGTATTGAAATCAAGCTCACTTGGCACTGAGTAGGTATCTGGCCAAACCTCGTAGCGCCTTCGGCGCTTCGTATGCAAATGACTAAGCCCTAACGCCTAACCGATGCAACAAAATACAAATGCAAATGCGTCTCTCGTGAATAATCCTAAGCCGCCTCCAAATATGACCCTTCCGCAATAAGACGCGCCCACGTCCTAGAAATAACCTTAAAGTAGGAGATGAGTGTGTGGGGTTCGTGTAGTAACGGCGTCGGATACCTTACTCAAGACCTCTTCGCTAATGCGCGTTTCCTTAGTACGTGATTAGGCGACGACGGAAACATTCTTGAGCGTCTTTTTTTCAACGCCATTCTCTGCTTGCGGCTGAGCGGCTTCTCTAGATACTAAAGTCGTCGCAGTAGGGTTCTTCACTGCACTTGATTCGTCATCATTGTCCTTTACCTCAGACTTACGGTCTTGAATGGGTGAAGATGACACCGGGTTCTGTAGACTTCTCAGGGGCTGTTGAGAGGGCATGCCTCGTGCTTCGCTGTTCCATTGGGACAACATATCCTTGACTTGAGGTGCCCACACAGACTCGCCCTTCTCGAGTTCCGAATACTCCATGCAATTGGAACTACCTAAGACAAAGTCGCCTTGTCGTGATCTGCACAGCTCTGCCATCATGGCCGAGGAGTTGACCATCATGCCAAGGTCATTGCAAAAACTTCTGACATAGAAACCAGAAGTCACAGTCATGCGAATTCTCGCAGCAGGAGGACCCTCGTCTTCCCACGGAACGGCCGCGTCCGGATCAGACTCTGGGATCAGATTCGATCCTCTTCCTGGCTTCGGAGACGCTGGAGGGGGGTCGCCTAAAGCTCCCGACATGAACATCGGTGATCCTTTCTTTGTCGTCTTTTGACGCTTGTTGTTGACTTGGTCGTAGACGAGGGCATCTACACTCTTATCGGCCTTACGCTTGAAGATCTCATGCGCCTTCAGTGCCTTGGTCTCTTCCTCCTTCTCCTCTGGACTGAGTTGAACCGTCGTAGATTGATGTTTCTTGATCTTAAAAACGTCATCCGCAAATTTACGTTCGAAGACAGTGGCCTCCTCAGTAGGCCAACGATACGAATGTTCACCAGGTTCATACCACTCAACCAATTCGATCTTGGTCACTTCCACTTCTCTAGCCTGGATTTCTCGTGGCAATGCCTTCCCTTCTCGGGCGTATTCGTAAAGAGGCTTACCATCCATTTTCAAGGCTGAGAAGATAGGAGGAATCTGCTGCGTCTTGCCCCGGAAAGAGCCTAGAGCCTCTTCAACCATGGGTCGAGTGACATGTTGGTAGGCAGTCTTCTTGAGGATCCTGCCGACTCGATCATAGGTATCGGTACTAGCACCAAAAAGAACTACGGTCTCGTACTCCTTTGTACAGTCCAAAAAGGACTGGAGGTATTTTGTGCCCTTTCCAACACCAAGAATCACGACGCCGGTAGCGAGAGGGTCAAGGGTGCCACCATGTCCGATCTTAACCTGAATATGCCTCTTGCTGTTTCCCCGTCGCCTATTCCTCGTATTCGATTCATTCTCTCTGATCTGCTTCTCTTGGTCTATCATTGGCTTGAATAAATCTGAAGGGTTAAAGTGGTGTTGGCAATCTCGGATTACCTGGGCACTACTCATACCCATTGGCTTATGGATGCCTGTTAAAAATTATGGTTAGCTAATGTGATTGTGGTGAGAGGTGATAATGGCATCGTACCAAATACACCGTCCAAAATGGGGCGGGATGCTGCCATTCTGAGAAATTTGGTAGATTGCATTCGGTAGAGGGTTGCGTCAAAAAGAAGGTAGACTCATGCGATAAGCGCTATGCGACAGGACGATTCTTTCAATTTGCGCGTTTTGTATCGGAATCCGTGATTTATTTGTGTTGCAATTGACAGCGCTCTGCGCTGCAATCAGTCAATAAATCGAGGCGGAAGAATTCGATTTGTATTTATCGAACGGTAGAATGGCTGGGTATAACAAAAGTTTGAAGAATTGAACTTGACGGGTTAGAAAGAAAAAAAAAACCTAGAGTTGTTTGGGTTAATCGACATGGTTAATCCAAGAATAGTGGGTCTTATCGATTAGCCGTTACAACGCTAGCCAGATAGGCACATATTATGGACTTAGGGCTGTTAGGGGAGCCCCTCCATCAATTGCTCTTGTTCGGGTCAAATATTATTGGCTAACCCCTCATTCAACCCACGTAGCTGCAGTACCTAGGTACCTCGAGTAACCTACCTGCGCGTGCTTGCCGGCAGCGCGTTCCAATCAGGGATTCTAGAAGGCAATAACTAACTATTTAAAGAAGCAACTATTTCAGTATTAACTTCGATACTAACTCGTATCATCGCTTTTCTTTCTTTCACATGTAACTTACCTACATAAGGTATAAAACACTCCCGGCTAAACAAGACGAAAACAACACAGCACTTCTCTCAGTCGCCATTTGATCTCAGCCTCGATTCGCTCTCGTCATGGCCGGACGTCGACGCCGGGCACCATCCAACTCGACAGTCGCAACTATCGACGAAGCGGCTATACAATATTACCAAGAGGAAACCGTGTTAAAGACCGCCTCTTCTCGAGCACATCCCGACGATTGGCCATGCTTTCTACTCACCGATGCGACGATCTATCATAGAAATGGTACATTGGCAAATCTGTTACATGTCGACTTGGAGGGACCTTTGATTGTTCGCGGAAGGCTCGAAATCGAGAAGGACCAAGAAAGGTTCCTAGTTGATCGACACATTAAGGGCAAGTCACCTCGGATTCAAATCCAGAACACACTATCATTCTCTATTGGCCTGAAAGAAGATGGTCTACCTATGCCTGTGCTCTGGGCTAGCGGCGGAGCAGGTTGGTATGAAATCGTCCCGTCCGAAGCATATAAAGCTATGTGCGACGTCATGTTTCAAGGAATATCTCTTCATTATGCCATATTAGACGAGTATGAAGCGACACTCGAAGAACTTCACAAGAAGAAGAAAAATAGGCACAAAACACTAAGTGACGTCACTTTATCCTTAGATGATGTCCTTTTTAAGGTGCGTCTAAATAACATTCAATTGTCGGATTTGTACATAAGCAATCATGCGACGAAGCGATTGATTAAATATTATCTAACCCGATATGCATACAGTATGCGGTAACTGTTGGTGATGGCATTACTTTACCAGAAGCGCACAAGCGGACTAGAGATCAAGCCATCTTCTTACTTTCGCACTTTCCCAAAGACACCGAATTTCATAATTGGTTGTCACATGAATTTCCTGTAAGATTTCCTCGTCCTCAGACGGTATGATAACGTTTTGCAGTCTAACTTAAAATATAGACTATTGTAAAGCGAATGGCCAAAAAGGAATCTAACGACCCTAAAACTTCTGGGAAGGCAGGAACAAGCCCTTTAATCGCAGTCCCTTATCCGCCACTAGAAAAGTCCAGTTCTCTTGAGGCTGTTGAGATTAAAAAGAAGGGTAGACCACCATTGCCATTGCGAAATTCGGCATCGAGGTCTCTTCGACATAGCGGGGCTCCCAGTTCTGATGCACACGACCTATCAAGTGACGAACAAATTCAAGCAAACCTACCAAAGGCCAAACATAAGTCACCTAGGAAAACTCGATCGGAATCCACGCGCGGTGTCGACATGATGATTCTTGATGTTCCCGATGATCAGCAACGCGGCTTGAATGCAGCCAGCCATTTGGAGAGATCGTTTTCACAAGATGCGAGTAGACCTAACTTGGCCACCACATCCTCGTTATCCATCGTGGTTGAGGCTTTGCAAGACATCCGACAGGAAATGCTTGAACTCCTAGACGAAGGGAAGCAGAAGAAGCATCCCGACGACATGAGTCCTAAGGGGTGGTGTACGAAACTCTACCTCGAGTTAAGCATTAGAAACCCCAAGGCATTGGCAGAGGTGTGCGAATACTTCTCCCGAGATCTTGTACAACACCTTGGCCCAGAGTGGCATAAAAGCCAATTCTACGAGTGGATGAAGGACAGCGTCGACACGAAGCCCAACTTCGAATTTATCGCTGAGAACGACATTCCAAATATTGCCAGGCGCAAGAAGAAGGGTAAGGCTTCGCGTGAAGAGACTCAATCCATCTCCGGGACCAGAGAGCTACCAGTTAGAACCGGTGGGAAGCACCCGCCACGAAGAGGCCGTCCTAGTGGTAAAACGGCAGGATTGCGTCCTCCCACTGGCAGCAAGAAACGCCTGCGTCACGAAACGAGCAACGATGATGAAATGGACATTGACGAAGATGGAGTGTTAAGAAAGACATCAAAGAGATACAGGTACTTCGATGACGACGAACAAGATGAAGATGTAAATGATACTACTTCTTCAGTCGACGATGACGATGACGATGACGACGAAGCCGAGAATACAGATGCTCCACTTACCCGACTCGTCATCCGCGCCGAGAAGCTGCCATCTACTTTCCCCAAGGGTCCGAATCAAACATGGACATGCGAAGAGCCTGATTGTGGATATGTCGTTCGAGCTGCTGACGGGGAAGATGGTCATGCCCTTATCCATCAACATTATGAAGCGCACGAGAAGGAAGCACGAGACGAGGCAGAGCAGAATAAGGCGAGTCTCATGGAACTTGCCGTCCAGGAGTCCCAGAAGGGACATATACCCATCAAGTATGTTCTTTTCCCACCCTTTTTAATCGAGGTTCGGTACCTCGAGCCTAGCAATACCCGTCCATCTCGAAAATAGATTCCGAACACTACATACTCTTGAGTGAGAGCATGGTCGAGGATCGCCTGTGCTACTGTGACAGCATGTAGCACAGCAAACGTTCCGTTGCGATAGTATCACCCATAACATTCATCACCAATAATACCACAACGAGAAACAAGCATCTAACAATATCAACAGTCATCTCCTAGAGAAAATCCGCGGCATGGGCGAGAAAGCACAGAAGCACGACGAGACCCAGCTCAACGGCCAAGCCGTCCCACAGCCGATCAAGCGCGGCCTATTAATATAAAATCACTCACGCCCCAAACAATTTTACGGCCACATTTTTGCTTTTCAGCCCTCCCTTCCAAATTCGGAACTGGTGGCATACACACCTATATGAGTGGCTGGCTGGCCTCTAAGACATCGGTTACGGCAAACGGATGATACCCGGTTTTTTACGGTGTCCAGGTATTCTAGACCTTGGGATTCGGTCGTCTGGGTTTTCGGCAACCTGCTATTATTTATTCATCTTCGGCAAACAGTATAGAGGGGAAGTAAGGTCGGAGATTTGGCGCATCATATACATAGCTGGACTTGAGTGAGGCTTCTACAATACCCTGGTCTAGACGGACATACATATTTATGTAGGACTTTATAGTGTGCTATATTGATAGGTACATTTCTCTTACACAATCTTATCTTTAGTCTTACTGGTGACTTAATGTAGGAGATATGTAGCATACTAGGTAGATACTAGGTACCCACCACCTGTGGAATAAATCATTCACAGCTACGAACTTATTGTATCATGTCCATGTAGAAACGTCCATATCTTTACTGGAACTAGCACCTTCATCGATGACAATTAGAGGAACGGCATACTTGGGTTACATAGACAATTATTTACTACAGTAGCAAGTGTAGGAGCTAAGCTAGCAATATAGCAATTGGGATTGCCTAATCATTTTCGTCCACCTTCATGATTTCCGTCTACATCAGTCATAGCGTAGTACATTGGCGTAGCCCCATCTATCTGCAAGAGGAGAAAGGGGACTTATTACTAGAATGAAGTTTTCATGTCACCAACCTCGCCTTTTTTTCCGACCAAGAACGCCTCGCGGGAATGTGAAAGGCCTTGAAATACATCAATAACGTTCAACATAAGACATAAGCGAGCTGGCTAGCCCTCGAAGCACCAGACCAAATCAAAATCGGACTGATGTTGTAGTGTTGGGATGATAGCAGCCAACTGACCGATAACATAAGTCGCCAATGAGTCTAGTGCCACCAAAGGCTCATACACCCACAAAATTCTGCTCCACCATCCCATGACTTATGTTAGAATTGCGACTGGAGTTGTCGAATTATCGGGTTTCAAGGAATTCAACCCAAACTTATCGTCTTAGTTGAAGGAAAACCGCTGCTTTATCCCATGCTGCTCGGTCGACAACCGAGATATCGTTCTTGAGAGTCTTGACACCTGCATGAATGGCATTGAAGAATTCGCAGGCTATCTCTAGGTCCTCGAAGAAGTTGGTCGCATATGGGACGAAAGTGCCGGGGAACTCTGATTTCTTCTGTGCCTTCTGTTCAGGGGTCTCGTTAGGATGAATATCATCCAACAAAGTCTTGACGGCAATACCAAGAGCAACATCCGTATCGCTCAAGAAAGGCAGTCTATATGATGTTAGTACACAATATATACATTTGGGGATTGGTGATGGAGGCATACCTCTGGCCTATGTCCAAGTAGTCGTCTCGCTCACGCTCAGTTTGCGCAAACAAGAGCATAGACGCTACAATAGCCTCGATAAGATCTCGGCCAGCCTCTCGAATAGATGAGCTCAGCGATCGAAAGCAGAGGAAGTTCTTGCTGAGTGGACCAGTATAGCCATTTGCTTGATGGCGCAACTTCAACAGAATTGCACAACGGCTGATGAGTAACAAGCTTGCCTTGTCATCATCGCTACCATTCATAGGCAGACCGTTTAGCTCTGGGTGCTGGTTGCGGGTGTTAAGAAGGTCGAACCGGAGCAGTTCATAGGCTAGGAGAATCGCCTCAAATAAGCCGGGTACGACACTATTCTTCAGAACGGTGGGCTCGAGCGCTTCGAGAGATGTTGCCAAGGCCTCGCCCCAGGAGGTGAGCCGGTGGCTATCATCAACATAACCACGCAAGTGAAGAAAGCGCCAGAGGGTAATCGACGAAATCAAATCCGCAGAGGCTATACCTTTGACCTTATCTTTGGCGATAGTGCTCTTCACGAACTCGGGATTTCTTAGAGCTGTTACCTCGAAGAGTATGGAGCCGTGCTTGGCATTGGGGTAGTGCTTCTGCGCGACGGCAGCATCCAGGTTCCAAGTAAGCGCTCGGGTCGAAGCCTGGTTGTCCTGAGGGCGGTATTCGATCTTGTGAGAATACTTCTCATCATACCACACCTTCACCGTGATCGCTTTGTACTGAATACCTCTATGTAGTCGAGGAAGTAGGAGACTGAGGGCCGATTCTCTCAAGGGCATGAGGTTTGTAGTTACAAGGCGCTTGTATTCCTCCGACTTGACTCCGTCGAGAGTTGGGTAGATGACGACCTGGCCATGTGAAATCCAGCTGAGCAGACGTGCTCCAATGAGGCCCGTGTTCAGATAGTGGAAGAGCTCAGCTGGCAACTGATATCCGAGGTATTCCCAATTGTCTCGAGTCAGCGTCTCAGGGTTGTAGACTTTGATCTCTCCAGATTCATCGATAAAGATAAAATGATCAATAGTCATTCTCGCCTTGCGATACTTCTGCAGCCAGTTCGGGTCTTTGCTCTTGCTAAGAATATCGTTAAACGAGTTACAGGCGTTTGCCACAGACTTCTCTGAGGTTCGTAGCATGTTAACGGCGTCCTGGACTGAAGGTGGTTGACGTGCGGTAATCTGAGGCTCTTTTAGCGGAGGGAACGTAGGGAGAAATGTTGTTCCCGCCATTAACAGTGCATCGATAAAAAGCGGCTCAGTCACACCAAGGGTTCGAATAATGCTCTTCTTGGATATAGCAGTGAAGTTGGCTGATTCCCAGTCGATGAATCGGATGACATGGTCCTTGATCGGATACAACAGCAACTCCTGAAAGCCCATGATGGCCGAGCATTGCTCCGAGTCAATCATATCGAAATAGGCGAGCTTGAAGCGGGTTAGCCACATGATGCAAATTTAGCATATGAACAACTTACTTGCGCAGATGCATTATAAGGAGGTACCAAGAAATGGAGTCCGCGGCGATGAAGGATACCCTTCAACAGCGGGAATAGATGGTGGATAGGGTAAGCGCCTAGTTCATATTAGCAAGCTGCCGGCTGACGTCCGAACCGCCAACTAGAAATAAGAGTAGTACCTCTATGAGAACCAAAGGCTGTCACAGCCTCATTCGCCTGACTCTGGAAATAGAGACCCCAAGCGTCATCGGTGCCTGCAATGGCTCTCTTTCCCCGCTGGACGGAAACCTCATCTTCGCCTTCCAGCGACTGACCGTTGAAGATGAAGAAGGGGGTAGTTCTATTAGCCTTCCAGTAGTCAAGGTCGTGATCAATGTGTGATGCGATGCCGGTTAAGCCGCCGAGGGCCGGGAGAAGTGGCTCGTGATAGGGAACATTGTCGAGAAATAATTGTAAGTAGTAGGAAGCATCGACGGCGATCGCGCAATCCTCGAGCTGGTTGACGTCGGCAGTACTAAAACACGGTTAGTTCTATAACACTAATATGATACAAAGTGTCAAGATATTACTCACGCCACCTGCTCGTTGATCCAGTGATCCTCGAAAGAACCTGCTCATCAAATTAGCGATTTCATATTGAGAAGCACGGCAACAGATAAATATGTAGGTGTGTAGTGATGTTCCTCAGAATGCTAGAATACCATCTAAAGTACCGTGCTGCCTCTGATTCCTTTTCCACTGGAAATATTGATTGACGGGTCGTCCACAGGTGAAGATAGAATTGTTAAGAATGGCATTGTCAGTGATGGTGACAAGGAATCCTTGTCGGTAAAGCCAGTCGACAGCACGATTGAGCTCCTCTTGGCTGAAAGGAGGTCGACCATCCAAGTCTCGCATGGTAGCCGAAATGTATAGCTGATCGAAGTATCGTGAATGGTGGATGGTGGATGGAGTGAGGCAGCGCAGGTACTCGGTATAGCTAGCAGTGAGACGAAATGTGTGACGGTGATATTGGCATGGGCAATAGAATCCAGCGAGGCTGCAGTGGCAGTGACAGGAGGAGCGAGAGAATTGGGATTAGCTATGGAATGCACTTACTCGGCATCTTGAAGGTATAATTCTGTGTGCGCCGTAGTGGGGAAACACTACGAATCGCGGTTTGGGGTCGCAAACGGAAAGGAGGATCGTTAATATAGGTAGGAACTAAAATGAGTGACTGAGTTTGACATAAATAAAGGGCACGATCGGGCAGGAACAAGGAGGGGGGAAGGCGGTGCGGCGGAAGGACAAGATGCACCTATTGTTGGAAAGAAGTCGATGAGGTTCTGTTTGAGGTGAGGAACGAGTCAACTTTCAACGCCAAAGCCTTGCGGTAGGTAGGACAAGGATTACGGTTTAGCGTCTTTTTACCCAAGCACCCCTGGAAATGGTCAGTTTTCCATCGGCTGTGGGACCCCCAACGCTAACTGTCTTACCAGGTAGCTATTAGTACCTAAGAGCTTAAGGAAATCGCGCCCATAGCCTTTACATCGACGCTGCTGTGTTCACATATCATATACATAGGTACATAACTGTATTCAAGAATGGTGCATACTTTTTTCTTAATCTACATCTACATCTACATGAAATTAAAAAAAGCAACTATAAAAGTAGAATGTCTTCGAAACCCCATCTCAAACAACATTGAATACCATAATTCCTCATCCCATGTAGCGGTTACAAACATTCTTACAGGCGTGAACCTTGGAAGATAGCAGAAGAGCACACATGTGGGGCGGTGCTTCAACACTAAATTTAGGTACGTACCTCCCGGTAGGTACCGATAGTCCGTATCATCGCTAGCCCTCGACAGAACGAACCTTATCAGTCAGTGGTGAATTAAAATGCCCCGGCCTGTGATATAATTCATGAAGTAACCTGGAAGAAGACGGGCTTCATATGTGGCGTCACACATATCTGTTCCAAACATGGCCGTAACTACATCGATTCCCATTATCGACATCTCAGCCGAGGGGACAGACCAGGCACAAGTCGCAAAGGAGCTGGTTAATGCTGCTGTCGAATATGGTTTCGTTTATATCAGAAATGCCGGTCGAGATATTTCTACCGAGCAGATAGAAAACGCCTTCAATATAGTACGTATCCGTCGTTCTATTGGAATTATTGTGAATAGACGTCATCCCCAACAACTTGCAATTCACCGTGCTATCATCTCTTGATTTGGACCACTTATACCTGCAGCGAATAAACAGTCTCTGGTTTCATATCTAATAACAACAGTCACGAATCTTATTCAGCTCGCCACTCGAGGACAAGCAGAGATGTACGATAGAGAAGAACAACCAAGGATGGTCGGGTATGCACTCAGAGACCTTGGACCCTAAGACACAACGTGTAAGCCATTTCAGCACACCTCTCAACTAAGACAGTAAGACTGATTAATATCATATTTATAGGTGGGAGATTTTAAGGAGTCAGTGACAGATCTAGCCCCCATCTCGTGAGAGAAAAAGCTGAGGCTGACCACCAGCTAAAAGGGCCTTCAATTTCGGACCCTTCACCGATAACAAAGCCACACAGCCTATTCCGCAGAGTATCGAGTCTCACCAGGCGCAATTGGCCGCCTTCAAGGATGCCTGCCATGATCTCTGCCGGAAATTACTCCTCTTATTCGGTATCGGCCTAGGGGTAAACCCAAGAATTCTTATTTCTCTATTTTCAGCCCCTTTTCAATTAACTAACCACCTCACAGGTAAACCCCCCAGACTTTTTCACAGCCGCACACACCTCCGCAGCAGCAGGCTCTCCCATACCCTCAGGTTCCATTCTGCGGCTCTTGTATTACCCGCCCCCAAGCAACACGCCCACCGCGCTCTCCTCTGATGTGCGAGCCGGCGCGCACTCGGATTACGGCTCCGTAACTCTTCTCTTCCGGCTGCGCGGACAAGCCGGCCTCGAGCTCCTGGATCCCCGCACCGAAACCTGGGCCCCCGTCCCTGTCATTCCGCCCGGCACAGAGACCGACGCACAGCCGCCCATTCTCGTCAACATTGGCGATCTGCTGTCATACTGGACTAATGGGCGTACGTAGCATCTTGCATTTCAATTCTTCCCATCCCCTCTTTCTCGAGATAGAATAGAACCGTCCTATCTAGCTATTGAACACCCCTACTAACCAACCCTCACCACAAAAGTCCTCCGCAGCACCGTCCACCGCGTAGCCTTCACCTCCACCTCCACAAACGGGGAATCCGTAACCGACCCCCGGTACTCCATCGCCTACTTCTGCCACCCAGCCGACGACACGCCCCTCGGCGCCGTCCCCAGTTCGCGCGTCGCCACATTCCAACCTGATCGCGCAAACGGCAACAGCAACCCGTACGCCGAGCGCAAGGTCCTGACCGCGAAGGAGCACCTGCAGATGCGGCTTAGGGCGACGTACCTGGAGATGTACGAGGGCGATAAGAAGAACTGATGTACATTAAAATTGGATAAAATTTATGATCTCTACCTATTGTACATACATAACCAGCTCTTCAATGGCATTTCTAACAAACGTTTACCAATTGAGTTCCCGTTAGCGAAGCTATCTCATCCCGCCCCGCTACTCAACTAGTCAGGTAGCTAGCGGCCGCCACACACAGACTGTACCCATTACACTAGGACCTAGGGAGGTAGGTATATATACCAAAACACTAGCTTAATCTACCACGTACGACCACAGGAGCTAGAGAACTCGGGATCCCGTCCGCTCTCCCATAGATAAGCTGGCTACCGCTGGATCAGTAGTTGGGTCGGTGACGACCAGCGAATCCCCAGTGTTGTACGTTTATATTTTTTTGTATTTTTTATATTATTTTCCTCCGGTTGGTTACTCATTTATCTTTTATTTAGAGTAATATTAACGGTAACATATACATGTTCATGTTGCTATTGTTATTTTTAACACAGTTCGTGGATGTAAACTCTCTGTGTGATAGAAACGGGTATGTTCGTGAGACACTTCGAATTTATATAAGTAATAGCCAAAATTAAGTCTCAAGAACTCTTCATTTTAGTCTAAAATCTCTGTAGAGGATGATAATCTTCCAGTTAAACACATTTCCCGAAGCCCGGCCACAGGACAATAACTACCAAGTACGTAGGTACGTAGGTAGCTAGTTTCATTTTGAAGCGTCCCCCTGAACACAAAGTAGGGGCTTCCGCATAAGAACCGTATGAGTCCTTTGCGGGGCGACTGTCTAGTTCAGATAGAACACGAGGCCATGTTAGACAACACACGAGTCGATAGAAATGTATAACCCTACAAATGGCGGTGACCTACAGTGACTTTCTAGACTTACGGTGGAAACCGTGGTTCATGGAACGGTATCGCAACCAATTCTTCGATGGGTCTAACTGGCACAGCCCCATTAAAGCAACTCAGATGTTTTGCTCGGATAGAACTACATGAGTCGTCTGATCCCACCTCAGCTCAAAGCAGGGCCTCATTAGAAACTAATCAGTTCAGGTACCCCTGAGGATATATAACTATATATATCCCATACACGCGAGCAAATTTTACATGGGGAACCAGCTGTCTTCCAACTCCTCGTACGTAGAAGACCCCCGAATTAAACCCAGCCCGCTTCATGCGAACCTTATTTCATCCTATAAGCTGGGTAGCAATAGTCGCCTCGATATTCCGGAGCGCTTCGGATGCCCCGGAATGCAGTAATTAGAATGAGCAACTTTTTATGATCCAAACGCCGAATGAATGAGCCGAGATATCCCCCTAGAATTTGCCGAATGTTGGTAGCTCTTTAGTTGCTCATTTTCTCCCCGGAAGTAAAGATATCGTGACCACCCGATGCCGCTGGCCCCCCCTTTTTGTTTTTTCAAATGCAAACCCCGTAAATCATGTCAACCTAAATGCTTTTCCGTCGTTTAAAAGCGCTGTCTAGTTCACCTACGCCAAACTAGAAACACGCTGTCGCAACCAACCGTATACAAATGCCTTGGATAAGTAACGTATGATGTCCGGCAGCAATGTCCAATTCTAATATTCGTTCTCATGTCGTCAAGTTAATATTGCATATTTGTCCCATGCTGTCGTCAAGCTTCTGGTTGCCAGAATGGTCGTGGTGCGTATAGTGGCATATTGGCTATGCCAGCCATGATTCCTCGTCTCGTTTGAGTCCTCTCTACCAGGTTCCTAGTTAGTATTCGTATCTCGGATGATAGAAGGTAAGTAGGCTTAGGGTGGAAGCCGGGTGCGTCTTATCTCCAAAGCTCGGATACACTCATAAAGACAATGCTATAAAAGAATAAGGGAATAGGTGGCTATGGATGCTTACCATTATCAAGCCTTCGTCTATAGACTCATCGTCCCCATCCTCATCTGCCTCGTCGTTTTCCACGTCTTCATTAATCTCCCCAGGTCCTTCAAGTGGTGCATCTAGACCCTCACGCATCCATATCATCCCGTTGGCCTCTTCTTCCAACGGAAATATCTCACGTGCGTATTCTTCTAGCCCTCTCGGCCCTTCCCATAACCTTAAGGCGTCATCGGGGCATTTCTTCTCTAATTCCGCATCTCCAAAATAGGGCGGTTGCTTCGTGGGGTCATTATTACGTGGGGAGAAGAGCTTTTGCAGTGCTTCAAGTTGTTCCCGATAACCTTCCGGAATTTTGACCTTGAGGTCGATGGCTCCACGTTTATACCGGACGCGTCTTCCGATTCCCTCCTCGAATGCCTTGCAGACTTCTAGCGGCGTTAAGTATTCGTAGGCCAGTGCTATACGTTTTCCGGTCCATTTTTCCGGGCCGTCTTTAAATACCTGGATGATGGCTGGGCCGACGTCGTGTTCGGCATCCAGCCAAGGAAGTTTAGCGTTTGGATGGAACGGAGCTTGCCATATGAAGGAACCATCCTTCTGCAATTCCATGCAGAACAGCGGGTACGGAAGCGACGTAAAGTTGTTGTTATAGATGCCGGTATAGATAAAAGTAGCCGGTAGTCCTATTTTTCGCACATACTTTTCCACCTCATGTTTAGCCGCCCATAGCGGTAGCGAGGGCCAATCCGATTTATAAGCGGCGTGATCGGGCATAGACGAATACACGTAATGTTGGACGCCGGCCTTCTTGGCAGCGTCCGCAATCGCTTCCCCAATCTGTATCTCATTGCCGTAGAAAGTGGTGTTGATAAAGGCTAACTGCGCGCCGTTGAAGAGCTGTGAAATCAGGCCGTGATTAACCAAAATCCCGGGCAGGTGTCCGTGGACGGTGACATCCCTCTTGTCATCTGGTTTATTTCGAATATAAAGCTCCCCGACGAAAACTGTGACATTCGGATTCGTTGCGACTTCAGTCGCTATGACTCCCTCTAGGTTGCGCAATTGCGCGCGGACTTTATAACCTACAGCAGTAGCTATGCGAATTAATGAGGCGGCCTGTCTACCACTTGCATTTATAATGGCAATAGTCTTATCTGGCGAGGGTGTCGATCGTTTTAAGGGCCGATAAGTCAGCGAGTTATTTCTCGACATGGCCGTAATAGGCGAGCTTTCCGAGTACGAGGATCGCGTATGCTTGTGCCTTGTACTCTGTGTCGCTGAAGATTTAGGGGAGGCATTGCCGTTTTCCCCCGACACCGGTCGAAAGACCAAATCAGTCCGAATATTGATAGGATTAGAAGAAGGCATGACGTCGTAGGTCTAGTTTCCAATTAGGGTATAGACGTTTTATGCCTTCTCACGATAGATAGAAAGAGTATCGTTGATATGATTGAAGAAAAGAGGCAAGTTGAGACAACCGAGACAGCTGTCTCGGTAAGTATCTAGATAGGCGCGTGGTGTAGCTATCGATGATCGAGGAAGCGAGAAGGCCAATGCCAAAATTATGGAATAGAAGAGAGAAACAACACGTCCATCGAAGATGTTGTGATGGTATAGGCTTGTGGTGTGCTTTGGCGTCAAGTTAAGGATCAATATGGGTCGAAGCTGTTTTCAGTGTTCGACGATAGTCTTGTCTTTTCTTGTCTAGTGCGTACCTGAGTAGGTAGTGTGGGTAAAAGAAATAGACAAGGTATTGAGGTAAGGTTGGTAGCGTGGAATTAGAGGCTCAGGTGACTATAAAGAAAGGGAAAGAAAAGGAAAGTACAAGGAGGTTTATTTTGCCGGTAAGTCTAATGCTGGATGTCGTGGCAGGTCCAGTCTGTCCAGGCTCGAGAAGCGGCCAGGCACGCAATATCTTTCGACTATCTAGAAGTCTGAAAAGTGGATATACTACGGATGGGAATTTTGGGAATTTTGCCAGGCCTGCAAAGTCCCGAACGCTTGAATTGAGGACCTTGACGGAGGTACCCTTCGGGCGGGTAACACTTAAGAGAAAGGGGGAAGGGGAAGAGAGAAAATAGGACTTCAAGGTCCGATGCGAAACGAAAATGGGTAGCCGCTTAGGGTTGACTGAGATAGTTTCGCTTGGAAATTCCACATAGCTTTACGATAAGCCAGGCAGGAGGGCGTAATTTATTTGTATAGGGTTGCGAGAATGGTAGGTTCCCGGTGGATCGATCAAATTCCTATCGAGAAAGAAGAAGGGCACTGAAAATCTTCTTAGGTTAGGAGAGGGAAAAAAGGAGGGTCTAGTCAGGCAGGGAAGTACATTCGTACATAGACACATACATCCATATGTATATCCATCCAATATCTATCAAAGAGGAATGAATATTGGGGGTATTGGATGTACGCTACTAGGTATGTAAAAAAGAAGAACATTGGAGGGTATGACGAACGAGACGGGCTACTAAGAGGTATTGGAACCGGGGCCCTCTTGTGAAATCCGGGGAACTGCCACCAGACGGGACTACCTTACTACTACCTACATGTAGTATTTTGATCTAATCGACCCTCACTTGCCTAACCAAAGCAAGTTCGGCCTGTTTATGTACGTACTAATGGTATCCATCGAAGGGGATTTAGTCGAGCGAATTATTTTTAATAGACCTGGAGGGTGTGGAATGTAAAAAAAGACTAAGACACTAAGAAACCTTAACCTCGAAGTACCTACCCTGTGTCGACCCAGTTATTGTTTGAAAATCTCTTATCTTAAGTTTATAGGCGCACGTGTGTGTATGTGTGTATGTGTGTATGTCTGGTGTATGTATATGTATGCGTATCAAGATAGATACGAGAGACAGGAGCGATGTAAGATTAAAGATTAAAGATTATTAAAATGTAAGCATAACAAAAAAGAGGCTGACACCCAAATTCGGACTCGTATGGATGTATCATGCTATGTACATGTGTACATCATACCTTGCTCACTAAGAACAAACCAATCCAATGAGGATGCGGCAGATTGGTGCGTGGATGAGCTCGGGTTTTTCTTTTCTTTTCTGTAATTTTTTGAGGGCCGGAATAGAGTCTAGTATATTAAGAGTTAGTTTATTAGTAATGAATCGGAGAGTGGTTCGGACTAGGATAGGTCAAGTAAGGTGACTGGAGGTAAGGGGACCGAATAGATCCATTATGTGCCCAACATCGTGAGGAGATGGTGAAGTAACATGGTCTAAATCGGATGTGTTATGGATGTTATGGATGTATTGTAGCAAATAGCAAATTGCAAAACCGCACATGACAGGTTCGACAAGGTGGAGAGCGGTGAAAAAAAAAGATGAAAAAAGGATAGGACATGTACTATAATATACGCATTGATGTAGTTGTATCGTACCTAAATAGTATCCATCGTTGAAGGTATATACATCGATAATTATTGATGATAACCTGTTCGAAACAGGTTGTACGTTGCCTAAAAGTCACGTTGATTTTTGATGCGCTGCATGGGCAATAGACTTTAATTCTCATCAATCGAATCAAGTGTTCGGATTCTCTTATCGCCTGTTTTCAGGGTTATAATTCGCCGATCTGATACGTGATTGATCGCATGTGGTATCAGCACCAATACTTAAACCAGGTCGATGGTTCGAGTTGATTGGCCCAGTATACCATGCGGTCTGGTTCTGGAATGCGACGAGATCGGAGCCTGACCGAATATCACACGCATTGTGCAAGTCTACTATTGTTTAATGTAGGTACATCCTCTTCTACGCATTATGTAGTATGTACCAAATGTTACTATTAAACAGATGGAGACGGTCTTCGAAACGTTAGCTAATGGGAATTGCTTAGGATCCATTTATATCACTGGCGCGGATCACGTTTTCTTCCCGCTCTTTTTTTCCCTCCTAAGTTTTGCTCCGGGGACGGTTTTGGATAGGAGGTGACAAGCCGGTTTCATAGCGGTTGGTACAGCTTATCAAGAGAAAAAATTTTACTCTTTCTTTTTTCTTCTTTCTTCTTTCATCGACTCAATAAACTGGATACTAGCATGGTTTAGATTATGTAAAGACATTAAGCACGGTTGGTCGGAATTGCATCTTAAGACTGACTTACATAACAGACCCTCCTATAATCATCTTCTACGTGTAGTTCGAGCTTTTATTCGACTTCGGAAGCAGACCCGTTCTCTACTTTTCCAAGAAAAAGTTAATTATCCCGGGTGATTGGAAGGGCGTAATGCGTATGATGAGAGACCGACATTATATAGTTAGTCGGTAAAGATTTTAGGGGTGTTTTCATCCCTTATCGGACCTATCCTACCAAGTATACCCAGCCTTATTGTTGTGCACTCAGCAGACTCAGCTGATCCGAGAGAAAGATAACCCAAAGAGGTTGATAGGTTGATAAGTTGGGTGGTTCGGATCTTGACCCGTAGTCTGATTGGAGCTTGTTGGAGCGCCGCTAAATTTTAATTACACATAAAACCGCATGTTTGACATGACGGAATCGCAGGCGAGTTGCGATGGGACAAGAATGCATGCCATAGATAGTGTTTAACGCTCTACACACAACCGCATTCCTATTAAGCCGCAGCACGGGCAAGGGGCGCTGTATTTCCCCCTCCAGAGATCAACAGATAACCATCGACCAATGAGCACGCCTGTCTCATTACATAGTTAGAAGGTCATATGTTGGAATCCTTGTCCAGTAACGAGATAGCGCGCAGTAATCCGTAATGCCGTAACAACGTAGTTCTGCTCTGTTTCCGTCCCGGTCTTTCTACCCGACATTTTTAAAAATGTCGACAATTTCGTCACGGGACAAAACCCAGTCCCGAGAGTTCGTATGAGCTCGTGTCGCCTAAGCGCCATCCTAACAGACCTTGGGAAAAGAGGAGACATCCGACGTAGGATATAGGGGATCCAACTCGGTGAGCACTCCTTTGATGGCGCTGCCAAATCGCAAATGCACGTGAACGTTGCCGCCGCAAATCCCGGGCCGTTGTTGGAGGATGTGATCTTGCATGCCGTTACAGTAGAAGCCAGACGCTGTGCATAGACGAGGCGGGAGTGTCCCTTGGTTGACAACCAAGCCTATCATTCTACTTTCATTAGTTCACAGAAATACCCATTACATTACTAAAGGCCATCCATCTCGGTCGGCATGCGTGTTAACGTCGTAAGGCTATTGGTTTAGGTAGGTACTTCCGAAGGTGTGGATTTGCTTCAGCAGTTCAGGCCTCCTCTGACCCTGAGTCTCTGATCCTCCGAGTCCCCCGATTTAGAAATAAATGGCGGAGAACCAGACCGGTCTACGCTGTGAAACCAATCTACATGGCGGGTATTAAAGCGAGTTCGTGGCCGACCCGACCGTTCGTCGCTAGCTGCCCAGGTGCTAGGTAGCTGCTAGCTAGATTTAGAGAGAACCCATCCAGGTGCTATGGGTGCACTATAGAATCGAGACCGATGCAGGCGAGAAAGGTTGATATTGCTGTTCCTAATGTTATGGCAGTGTGGAATCCGAGGCGACGATGTCTTGGCATTAGGTATGTTTTAGTAAATAAAAAGGTATGGGTGGTATTGATGCAATCGAGCACGTTTTTACGGCCCTGGCAGCTTTTTTTTTTTCGTTGTAACGTGAATCGTTTAGCTGCGAGCAATCTCTTTACAAATAGTCCTGTCGGGTGTTGCGTGCTATTACGTACAAAACAGTCAAGCGAACATCCTTCTTGGAGGTACTGGAGGCTCAATCACTACCTTGCCGTCATCACATCAGCGACGGTCGTTATAGCGCCAAGGATGCCCCTCTTAGTCCGAACTGGTATTTCCGCGGGACACATCCTTTCCGCCATTCGTTTCCAACGCTTTTTATGAACTTGTTTCTGCCGTGTCTTGCGTTATTCCTTAAGCAACTTTTATACCTGAACCATAGTGTATGTTGGATCCAACACCAAAAATCGCATAGCGCTTTCGATAAACCGCAAGATGCCTAGCCTTCTCGCCAATTCGCAGGGCTAACCAATAGGGGGCTATGCGGGGTTGAACGATACCCCGCGAATACACGGCTGGTAAGCTGGTAGGTTACAGGTAGGTACCTACCTACCTGGGTACCTAGTAGCCACCGTGGTTCTGATCTTCTCCACACCCTCCAAGCTCTCAACCCAGGATTTCTCACCTTGGAAGAGCTAGCCCTGGTTGCTATGCTAGGAATCTGTAACCTTGACGTCTGATACCTTATCAAAGTTGGATCGGTCGATTCCGCAGGGCTTACTACCGTGAATTCGGACGGCTGTCGCGGTTGCAAATCCATGGCTCACCTAACGAAATGTATTGGCGGTAAATGAAGGGTTTCCATTTCATGGCCTTCAACATTACAACGAGGCCAAAGGTTGAACCATTTTAAGCCATCGTCGTTTCGGGGCCCCAACTTCAGTTGGTGAGACGGTACTTTACGAAGATGGAGGGAAATTCCATGTGTTCGAGATCATAAAATTGGGAAACTCTCCTATGCTTTTCTCGCCTATCCAAGCATCTTCGGTTATCTGTCCCGGGACCTCCATAGTTTCGGCCGTACGTGCCATGGCATCGAAATAGCTCTATCAAGTGTATGTTTGTTAAGCAATTTGTCATTTTCCAAATAGAGACACCAATAGAAAGGACTTACCCAATCGTAGCCGTTTTGCATCATCCAAAGGGGGTCAGACTCTGTCTGACCAGCACTAACACCCGTCATCAGGTTTGGCTCCATCATGCCAAACCCGGCAATGTTATCAACTGCAGCCTCGTCGCTGCTTGACACAGTCGCTGGCCGGCTACCATCAATCGTCAAGCTTGCCATCTCTGTCATCTCGCCGCTCCTATTTATCCTCGAACCCGACATTTCGACATCTTCAGTGATGATTCCAAGGTGCGCATGAACCCGACGGAGCACTATGCGTGTGACTTTTTCACATTTTTGAAATTCCGATCTCTCAACCGCCATGTCCTGCCAGACATAATGTGATCTTCTAATCACCCGGAGGAGCTCATCCCTGGTGATTGTCGGTGGCATACACCGTGATATCCAATCCGCATCGCCACCCGGTTCCCAGTATTTATCATTCTGTATCACGAGAGCAACAATCATATTAGCTAGGAGAAAATCGTTTACAGCCACTAGAGCAGCGATGAACCAGCCGCTTTGGGCCAGCATGCCACCGGGTTTTCCGGCTTCGTGCATCGTAATCTGGTAGTCCAGAAGCGCCAATGCTGCCTCGAGGCATACTCGACGGGAGTAATCGTGTTCTCTCTTCGGATTTTCTTCGACAATATAACGTCTATGGTGGATACATCGACTTTTTTGGTATATTGCCGCGATACCAAAACGTTGAATGATCTGAACTGGCGCATCTGTTAGGCACAAGTCCATCGGTCTCATCTTCATGATTGAGGGTACGTTATCCCATGCTTCTTCGATCTGGGCGTCGACTTTCATCACTTCGGCATAAGATGGAACGTCAAGTGAATGTGCTTGCTGAACTACGAGGAAGAAGATTCGGGATACCCTGGCCTTATTGATCGGGTAGGTGAGTAAGGTGTAATCCGAGCTAGGGCGAGCCTGAGGTAGTTCCTTGGTATCTTTGTCAAAGTCCGAATCTGTCAAGTTCTGTGGAAGCGCTGTATCACTTTCGATAGCGTGGGTCATGCTAGGGAGGCCTAGATTGAACGCAACTAGTAAATCGATTTGTACGGCGAGATTCCACATGCGCCGTCTCATCTCGCCGTCATATGGAGTGATGCCGGGTAACTTACTAGGGTCACGATGGAGACCCATTTTCAGCATCAATCGAATTAGAACGGATGAAAGCAAGTAACAGTTCATCCGATTCTCGCGATTGGTCACAAAATCTCCTTCGACATACAACATAAACGCTTCGAGGGTGTAAGGGCCAGGCTGCGAATACTTCCCCCATATGAGAGCCCATCCTGCAGCACCTCTATACTGCTTGAACCTGTCTAGAGCTGGTACGGGGGAATCGCTCTCTAGTTCATGCGGCGCGCTGAAGGAAGAGAAGAAGGTACCAAGCGCTAGTATCATATAGAGCAAGGCTATCCAATGAAGAGGTGCATTTTGCGGATCCTTACAGAAAATATTATATTCTCTTAGGAACGTAGGGACGTGAATAATGTCTTTACGTATGTATGTGTGAGTAGCGATATAACCTTGTAGTAGAAGCGGAAGTAACTCACGTTGAGAAGGACTGTTTGAGTTGAAATAGCGATTCATAAGACGACTGACAACAGCTTTTTCTGGGAGGCTAGCGAGGAGGTCATTTTTATCTTTGGGCACGTTTCGTGAAGCCATGAGCAGCTCCGTAGGCCCCATGTTCTCGTATGGGTCATGAGTTTCCTCCTCGTCCTCTTTTCTATCATCAAAATAGCCCTTAAGATCCTCAATCTAACATAAAAGGTTTATTATTTAATACGTAAGAGTGGCAGACAAGGAATATGAGATAAAACTTACGTCCTCTAGCATAGCCATGAAGTGTGTTCCTCCGACATAAGATGTGTTTCCCTGGCCTTGGACGACGACACCGCCAGGGTCCTTCGGCAGTTTATCGACAGACTGCGTAGGCGTGGAGCCATCTGTATCGATCATCACACGGACCACTGTATATCGCCTTAGTGACATAGGTTTTGGAGAATGGTTCTAACATTTGAAGCATTCCAATGCTACCTAGCAGGTAGTTCAATCTCGGGGAAAAGAAAACGAGGAAATATTAAGGGGGGGGGGGGGGGGGGGGGGGGGGGGGGGGGGATTAAGTAGAAAAAAAAAAAAAAAAAGCGTGCAGAGAAAACCGCACAAAAAAAATTAAAGGGGGAGGAGTTTA